GATGTTCCTAGGGATTGCAAGATGTAGGATAATGAGGTCTCAAAGGCCTCTGACTGTCTGCCTGGTTGTGGGGAACTTTCTTAACTCCTGATTTGGAGAGGGCTCACTATTCCTCTTGCTCCACATTTGGCAAGAGCCATGGGTGCTCTTGACCCCAGGGCAGAAGGGCGATAGCTTGTGCTTTCACAAGAGGGGGAGTTAGCTGGGTACACTCCAAGCCAGAGGCAGAAAAATCAACTTTCTGCGTGCCAGGGAAGAGCAGCTTCCTGTTTGCAGCACTGAGGAATTCTCGATGAAATGAGCAGAGGCAGGAAAATCTGCCTGGGAAGACTTCTGGCATACAAAACCTGAACACGTCTGGAAAAGCCCAGACAGGAGGGAAAATAAAAGGTGTGCAAGACCTTGCTTACATTATTCTGGGCCAAACATGGTGTCATTGTGTGGAGGCCAAATTGCCAGAAACTGCAGAAATGTACCCGGTGTTATATAGTTTCCTTTATGGCTCTGGCAGAATTCCTCACTCTCTGCAGCAGTAGTCTTGAAACCAGAGAAATCGTTAGGTCCTGTGTGCTTGCCTTCCTGTTCAAACCATCCTGTAGATCTGAAACAAAAAGCCCTTGAAAACAGCTTAGCAACTGCCCACTGAGTGTTTTGATTGTGAAAATAGAAAACAAAAATGTTTGTCACTGGCATACTAGACATTTCTCTGAAAATAGTGTTTTTAGTGGATGTTGGAGCAGGCTGTAGGCCTCCGAATACATTTATTCTGAGCTTTTTCCTTGGAAAGGGAGCAGTCAGGGATTTCCTCAGCTGACTTTTCAACTGCCCCACAGCAGAGCACCTTTGTGTTGTAAGCGAGCCATGCCCTGAGATCATTGTTCCCTCTTCTGGGAATACTTGCTTGTTTTCACTGAGCATGCATAGTGCTGCAGCTGTTTTCCTCAGCTCCAGCAGCAGTAGCCAGTTGGAAGAGGAACTGTTGGGAGCAAAAGCTCTACTGACTTCTGTGGTCCTGTTGACTTGTGACTTGGGAGCTCACAGAATCTGTGTTCTCCTAAAAATACTTGCTTCTCCTTCCTGCATCCTAACAAAATACACACACAAGTGCTTTCTCAGGATCCATACTGATCTATGTTACGTGCCCTGGAGCATGATAGCAATGTGAGTTTGGCCTGTAAGCATCTGTGCAAGTTTGCTCTTCAGGCTTTGGAAGACTGACTGGCAGCAGAAGACTATGCCATAGCCATACAGCAATCCCTATCAGGAAGATGTTCATATAGATGTCACATGAAATTCAGTTCCATTCATGGTCCACAGCGTTCACACGCTCTCATCCTGGAAAAATGATGCATAAGGACTATTGTTTTAAAATATTCTGTCTTATTAAGCCTAGTGGTTGTAGTGGTTGATTCTTCATATCTTGCTGATTTAAAATAGAAATCAGGAAAATGAAGTGGTGCTAGAAATCCCGTAAAGACAGCTAACCCTGTAATGCATTAAAGGAATACAAATAGCACCTCAGGATTCATTATCACTCCACTGCCCAACTAAGCAGGCTGTTTTGGAGACACACAAATAAGGACAATTCTTCCAGTCCAAACTGAGGTAATTAGTGATAGAAATGGAGAGAAGTGGTAAGAGTTAGGATGATGAGGCGTGGGATTTTTACAGCGCTATAGAGCATTTGCTGGCCAGCCAGTGAAGTACAGCTCTGAGGTCTCCCATCTGCTACTAAGAGAGAAGGTGTGGCACTCTGGGGAAACACTGACATGTTTTTTGCATGTAATAGTCATTAGCCAAATGTACCTGGATCTCCGTTTCCTGGACTAAAACAAGATATTTAGTGTGCTTTTACTGTTGCTGCTATGTCTGTCTACTCAGGTGTTACTTGTCCTATGAAATGCCTCTTGAAGTAAAGAGGTAGACATGTTCTAAATTGGGAAGTGTGAAAGTCGATGCCTATGTGTTGCTTTTGTAAGATTTTGGGACATTACAGCCCATGCAATCAAACCGCCCATTGCTTTCCCTGAGATAAAGGTGGAAGTAGGCACTAGCTAGTACTGTTTTCACTGACTTCAAGACATCAAGAGCCAAAAGAACTGTGTGGGTCTTGTCAGCTCAGGGAATACATGTGTTTTACTGGTATAAATGTAAATTTGAAGCATCTGTAGATTTGAAGGACTACCCCCTGTTACCTATTTAGCTAGATGGTTCAGAACTAGCATCTGAAACTAGCCTGTGGAGGCCCAAGGTTCTTACCACTGCACTGGCTCTGTATCTTTGGCAAGCAGCAAGACAAGGATGTTACAGGCTAAATGCAAATAAATAACTCTTGATGTTTAGCTGAGTTCAGACTGAACTGACTGGTTGAAAGGTTTGAGTGCAAAAACAGACAAAAGGTGATGTAATGGTTTTATCAGGTAACAGTCACCATAGCAACTAAACTTTACCGTGCATGACAAGTTCCTCCAAGTCTCTCCACTGTGTTTCTTTTCCACATAGCTTTTGTTACAGCAGGTGCGTTAAGGACTTCAGCTGCAGTAAACTGTGGCTCTGCAGGGTTCTTTCCCATGGGACTGTGTGCAGTGTTTTCACAGCTATACCTTTTCTTGCATATAATACTAAATTACCCTCATGTGATTTTTAGTTTTCTCTCCCCATCTGAACACTGTGAATGTTTATTCAGTTGGACTTGCTGTTCATGGTGGGTTGCAGTGCTGGGCATGGTGCTACTGAGCCTTCACCAGAGCCTCTAGCTGTGGCGTGCTTTGGAGCAGACAGGCACCAAATTTACCCTACTCTGTTCTGCCAAATCAGTAGAGCTACACACACATTAGATAATGGGTCTGGCCTCGGCCAGGTCTGATCCTTTATTTATCTCCTATTGCAAGTGAAAATGGGGGTGGGTGGGTGGATGTTGTTCCTGTTTTCTCTGCAGAACACAGATGTTGACTACAGACTGTGCTGAGTTGTTCTGACTGCTAAGATAGCATATAAAAAATACAATTTATATTCGGGGTGGATGGCAGTGAGCTTTTAACTGCTATGGAAAAAGATTGTGTAATTTGAGAATGAGAGTATGTTACTTCAATGAAAGGAGGCATAAAGAATACTGATTATTCTTAATCAACAAGGAGCCTCTTATGTCCTTTTTAATCTGGCCAGTAAACTAGGGACTTCAGTGTGTTGGGATAAACTGCTAGCTTGGAATATTTCCCCAGCTGACTTTGTGAAAGCCCTTTTGTTGCTGAAACTAGGCACGGTGAAACTACACCACATGTGCTGTCCTTGTCTCTGGTTATAAAATGCTGCCGTTGCCTGGACAGCATCAGAAGTGCAGGCGGGTGAGCTGGGTTTCAAGGAGCATCTGTGTGGTCTGTGCAGAGCTGAGGAAGCTTTTACAAACTTTAGGGTATTCATTCCCGTGGGGCTCGGTGGGGCTATGTGGGAATTAGTGGTAGGCTTGTTATTGAGCTGAAATTCAATTTATTCACTTAGCAACAGTGCAACAAAAGGAGGAGGGAAAGGCAAATCACTGCAAAGCGGTTCCAGGCAGCAAATCACAGACAAATGTCTCCATATGTGCAAAGTTCCCAAGTGTAAAGTTCAACACAGCAAAATCTAACTTTGTCTGAGTTTAGCGCAGCTCCGTATTATTCTTATACCACTTTTTTTATTTTCAAATCTGAGGTTTTTCTCTCTGGGCTGTCTATGCTATGAGGATGGGTCACAGAGGAGGGCTCCTGGGTCTCCACATCAGCACCCATGCACAAGAGGTGGGACAGTCCCGTGTCTGTATAGGAGTGGGCTGTGGGCAGCCATCAGCTCTGCAGCAGGGACCTCCCTGGGAAGAAGCACCTGCTTCATGCTGTGTGCTCGCCTGCGCTGGGAAAGGAGTTATAAAGCCAGCTTAAAGCCCAAGCTGTAATGCTTACTCCTCCCCAGAACTTCTGCCTTGTTCACTTTTTCTTTCCCTCAGAGATCTTCACAGTGTAAAAATATGATAAGGTGCCTTACTTCCATTTTGGCACACTCCGTGCAATTAGTTTTTGGTTCATCATTGGTAAGTAAGTATTGGTAACTATATTAGCATTTTAAACCTCACTACTGTGGCTTATTTGAAAGAAAAAGTACCTCATAGAAGAAAATGCCTATGTTCTCTCTTCTGTATATCTTGTGATTGCCCTTTTCTGTCTATACTTCCTTCTCTGTTTTTTAACTTCTTCTGTTTCCCACTGCTACATGGGCTGCACTTGATGGCTCCTAAAAAACCCTAGTGATCTCTTGTAATACAGACTGCAGTATAAATTACTCAGGTAAATTTGAGGCAGTAACTGAAATAAATGGAATTGCTCTGAGGACGGTGAGGCACTGGCACAGGTTGCTCAGAGCAGCTGTGGCTGCCCCCTCCCTGGAAGGGTTCAGGGCCGGGTTGGATGGGGCTGGGAGCAGCCTGGGCTGGGGGAAGGGGGCCCTGCCCAGGGCAGGGGGGTTGGGCTAATGACCTTTAAAGGTCCCTTCCAACCCAACCATGATTCTGTAGTAATTTCCAAATAAAAAGAAATTTGCTTATCTTTAACAGTAATTCTGGTATGCTATTAAAATTCCTGTATGATTACTATGATGTTTGATTTCCTTTTCTATCTCATTCAAGACACAGTAGGTGGCATGTGCCAGGTATTCTTGAATTTTTATTTATACATCTTTGTAATTATTTCTTAGCATGACAGAATACATACAGTACCATGATCCACCAGAGAAGTTTGTTTTCTCTTTTGTCTGCTGCATCTCTGACCCTATATTCTAAAATGGTGAATGTTACAAAAATCAATCTGTGGAAAATCTTAATGAAAGAACTACCTCCTGTATCTTCCACATGGTAGTAAGGAAAATATTTTCAGCCTGTGAGCCCAGCACAGGACAACCATTCATACACTTGCAAGCTGTAGTGTTATTTATGTTGTGAAAATAGTCTTCTCCCTCCTTTTCTCCTGATTCAGGGAGAAGAAACTGAAAGCTAGAGTGCAAGAGTTAGTGAGTGCTTTGGAAAGACTCACGAAGAGCAGTGAAATCAGACATCAGCAGTCTGCAGAATTTGTTAATGACCTTAAAAGGGCAAACAGGTAAACGATCTACCAGCAGACGTATGCACCATTGATTTTCTTTTTGATGTGTTCTGGGAATGCACTGTAATCCTCCCCCTACCTAATAAGCAGTTTTGGGATCCTTGGCATTCACATGTGTTGACTCTTCAAGGTTATAGTTAGAGATGGGGGAGGTATAAACCTTCCACTGAAAACGACACAGGTAAGAACAGAGTGGGAGAAACAGGTTAATCTTAACTGAGTTACTAGTAAATGCATTATTATTAAAACAAAAACCTCCATTTGGTAAGATTTATGAATCTGTTATTTTGTTTAAAATTGCTCCCTTTTCTTTGGCTCCAGCCTCTTTATTAATGAACTGGCTTCAATAATCACACCTAAATTTTATCACTCACTCAGTAGATCTTACTGGCACTGTGTTTGGATGGACTGAGAGTATGGTAGACTGCAGGTGCCCTTCCTGCAAGGAGCCTATGGCTCACAATGTGGATTTCATTAATAAATTATACTTGAAAGCTCTTATGGTGAGGAGCAGTACCCATCTCAAGCTTTCCTGCTGAGTCAAGGTGGAGGCACAGAAGATACTTAGCAGCTGAGAAATTAGCCATCCTCTGAATATAACTTACTTTATAAAATGGAAAATGCAAAATCAGAGCTGGATTTTGTAAGTATATTCTGGCCATGAAATGTCTTTGTAAGTCATTACATATTTAATGTTGTGGTATCCTGAATCACAAAACAGTGCTCTGCGAGGTCATCATTGGCAACCTCTAGCTGGCTCTTTGAACCATGTTTTAAAATGTTTTTAGTAACCAGTTTACTGGTAAAGGTGTGTACTTGCCCTCCAAAAAAGATACAGAGATTAATATTGATCTGGGTTTGGATCAAATGTGTTTTAAAGCACTGGTAGATTTTAAGAAGGTGATCAGTATCCAAGCTCTGGAGTTCTCTGAAGATGGGGTTTTGGGGTGGATTTTTGGAGCACTTGCTATGAACAAGCCTTTTTTGAATGGCTGTGTATTGTTTTGTATTTCTAACAGCAACTTGGTAGCAGCTTATGAAAAAGCGAAGAAGAAGCATCAAAATAAGCTGAAGAAACTGGAATCACAAATGATGGCCATGGTGGAGAGACATGAAACACAAGTAAGGATGCTCAAACAAAGAATAGCTTTACTAGAAGAAGAGAACTCTAGACCACACACAAATGAAACTTCACTTTAAATGCATCTCTTTCAAAGATGCTTAGTGCCATTACAAATGTCTTTTGGAGGCTGACCTTTAGGTAGCTTCAAACACTAAAAGCTCTGACTGTCAATGCTGACACACTTAAGCACCTTCTTTGGGATACCAGAGAGGTGTCATGGGGATAATGTAAGTGTTAACCTTAAGGACTGTTTCATAATATAAAATGGCAGTGCCTGAATTATCATGTTATAATTATGTATATTGTCTGTGTCATTGTATCTATATTCATACAGCTTCTTTTCCATTTTATGTGTCCTATGGGTGACAGTGTCATGTAGCAAAGTAACTCATGCTAAGAGGTTTTGATTTGGGCAGTTTGGAGATAATTTGAATTTACAAAATCCCTGAGCTCCCTCTGCACACAACTCTGTGTTGTACCCTCAAGACTTGCTGCTGTGGTTATATCAACTAAAGAGGCAGCTGCAGAGCGGGGAGGTAATAGGCTGGCTTGGTTTTTTGCACAGTACTTGCAGTACTGTCGCTCATAGTGCAGATCAGGTAGGAAAACTCCTGTTGATTTGGAAAAAACCCAAGGAACCCTAGTTGCATCTCTAAAAACCATGAAAATGGTGTATTTCTTACAGTCTGTAAGAGGACTGTGAATCTCACCATGCCAGACAGACTGTGCCAAGGTTGGGTAGAAGGTATAGACCTTCTGGTATTTATATTGCATGGTGTTTGCAATTATTTTGTGAAACAGTTGGTTTTTCTTGTTAATGTGTTATAGCCAAGGTTTTCTTTAAGCAGCTGGGCCATTTTTGTCGTGTATAGTGCTTATTACAGCTTTCTGTGATCATGAGGTAGAATGTTGTCTTTCTATACTTATTTTGACCAAAAAAAGGTACTTACTAGGAATGTACCTGTTTAATATTGAATACATAGGCACAGAACTATAAACATGTAGGAGAATGGATATACAGCCATGAACAGAATGTGAATGAAGTCTTCATACAGCTTCTTAGGTTAGTTTTAGTTACTGCTAGCATTCTCTTCTCTTGTTTAAGTTGCACCATGTTACTGTACTACCAAACTAACTGAATTGAAAATATTGGCCTGTTATGGTAATGAACATTAAGCAAAGCATGGCGATCAGGTTGATTTCTCTAGGGAGTCTGCTGTAGCTCCTGTTTCATTCAGAATTTGTTTCTTTTTGACTGAGTACATAAAACAGCTTCCAGGTTTAACATACCAGACTAGATGCCATTAACTTCATTAGCTTGTTACTGTGTTACACCCCTGCTTTCTCCTTTGCAGACTGTTTTCAAGTGAATCTGATTTCAGGAGTCGTTTAACCTTTTTGCTCTACATGTTGCACCTCAAGTTTTATTAGTGTATTTAGAATTATGACATCTCTCATTTATTCCTCCAATTCCTAGTACTAGAGAAATAGTTTTACAGGACTTTAACCATTTTTGTCTACTTTTGGGTTAGGCCAGGCAGCTAAAATAGTGGTGGGAAGTTGTGTTCAGAATACGGCATTAGTGTTAAGTCTTGGTTGCATCTGATACTGTAGCAGTTCGTGTTCCTGACATCTCTCTTTACTGTAGCTGTTGTTTTCTTCTCTTCTTGGAGTAGTGATTCTTACTTCTCTAGAGTCTGATACCTCAGCTACAAAACCAACATTGTATGTAATTGATTGCAAGAGCAAGTTAAAACAATGCTGATTTCAAAATAAAGTTGTAGGTAGTGATGCCCTCTTTCTCAATATAATTGCACTTCTTGATTTATAACACAAATAGAAATTTTTGCAAACCAGTCTGAGGGAACAGCAGGCATATTGCTTTCTTACTGTCTTTATGGTTTTGCTAAGTATCTATCTATCTATCTGTCTCTGTGATACTTCCCTTTTCTGACCAACAAGTTTCTCACCAACAGGAATGTGGGGTTTTGCCATAAGCTTTAGTGGTAGCTGATCACACTTGTTTCTGAAGAAACGCAAAGAAAATTATCCACTGTGTACTGTGGCAAAATGCAGTTACAGTTTTGTCTTATTGAATCTGAAACACCCATGTAACCTGAGGTCATCTCAAACTGTCAATGTGAAATACCTTTCACGTAAGGTGACTAGAAAGCACTCACTGCTGCACTGGATTTCCTATTAGGCTCAATTTTTTTTCAGTTTCTTGGTAGCTAGAGAAGCTCTTAAAACATAATACAATGAACGAAGCTTAAAGCATTTGAATTGAAGCCTGCCTTTAAAGGAAAGATACAAATTAAGAAAGCATAAAATGCACCTGGGTTTAAAGGCATAAAAAGCTACCTGTCCCTCTGTGCCTTTTGCAGGCGTAACAATTTGCCGATTCTGCATGAACCAAACATTGTTTTACTGCATTTACTGCCTGTCATCTTCCCTGCCAACTGTGCTCCAAATGTGTTTCAGAATTAATTATAAATCATTGGTAAATGTAAGCCAGTCCCCCTTTCTTCCCCTAGGGCTTACAGATGAAAAAGCAACACTGGTATCATACAGCCTCAGCTGTGGCTGTAGTTTGCCAGGCCACCAGTTATTTTCCCTAAGCAAGCAGCTACTGCTTCATTTGTTGGCATATGGGAAAAGGCCAGTAGGGAAGTGGTAAAAAGTTTACTATTATTGTGAAAACTGTTTAATACTCACAATTAAGCTGCAGATCCAGTGCACCTGTTAAAACTGCACCAACCCTGAGAATGCCAAAAAACTAACCTCTTATGCAACTGTTTGAAATACCAGCACACCAGCCTATAGATGAGTGTGCAAATCACTGAGTGACAGCAACATAAGTCACTCAACACTTGTTGCAGAAATAATACATTTGCAAGACAAGAGGTAGTTCTTGCCAACAAATCCTAAATTGTTCATTCATTAATTAATTTTAGGGTGGTTTTTTTTTATTTTCTAAGTCACCAGAGTGCATGAAATTTTGTATTTCACAGTATGTTCAGAAGAATGCTTTTTTTCTAATTAAATATATAAATCTTCACCAGCTTGAATGTACTGTTAGCTATTGCAAAGCACATGTGACTAAGTTTGCATTAATGTCAGTATTGTTCTACTGGTTTTATTAGGATTTTCTCCTCCTGTAATACCATACCATACATTGTAATTTTAGAAACTCTTCACCTTACCAAATTAGCTTTAAATGTATTGCTGCTTTTTAGTTTCCTAGCTGCTGTAAAATAGCTATTTTGTGGTTATTTGATATAGAATTGTAAAAACTGCATTTATTTATACAGAGACATTTATAATACTTATTTTACAAATGTTCTTATATTCTGAATAAATTTCTAATGCTATTTCTTTGCCTTGGGGGTTGCTTTACCAGACCTTGTCATCTTATTGTTGAATGGATCTGCTTAAAGGTACTTTATCCAGTGTGATATTGAGGGAGATGGTATGACACTAGGAAATTTCCCACAATAGGGACATGAAAAATTGGTAAGAACTCAGCGGAGATCTGATCACAGGTTTTAGCTGAGCTCAAGAACATTAGTACTGGCCACAAACTCTACAGCTTCAACAACCACTTTATAGAAATGGAAGGGCACATATGAAACCATTTCCATACATCCAGTTCTTTTAATAACAAGTTATATGGACCAAAAAAAATATAATTCTTTCACAAATACTTTAAAAGGACTGATTGAAGTTCACATACTTCCTTTCTCCAGCACATCTAACACCTTTTAAATTTTTTTTTTTAACTTTCCATTATGTTTAGTGGGCCTCTTGTCCACCTTTACAATGGACTTTAAAAAAATAATACTTCTTTTCCTGGCACTATATATTATCAAGTGCTGCTGACTGGCTTAAGGCAACATTTAAACATTCTACACTGAAAGAATAACCTGTACCAGCAGCACAGGCTTTACATTTCACACTGATCAGCAATGCTTATATTCATACTTCGGTACTTCAGTAAGTTTAAGCATAAAGTTGTTTAATTTTACAGAGAAAAATTACAGTATGGAAGAAAATGTCAATTTAGTCATAGCCTCTTAAATGGGGTGCTTCAGTTTCTGAATCAGTGAATAACAAAATCACAATCATCAGTACAGCTGATGTTACAGGTAGTTACATATTTTATTTATTGAAGAGTTAACTAATGCAAACTTTCTTCAAGATAACATCATGGAAATAGAATAAAATCTGTAACTTTACATGGTTTTAACCCTATTAGCTGTATGTATTTTCTACTTAATTAGCACCGATATGCCATTTACATACCAGTGAGGAAAACAGATCAAGTTCTTGAGCTTAAACAAACAGGAGGAAGACATAATCCTTCATGCATGAGCCATATAATGAAACACTGGCTCCCTATTTTCTGCGAGACATGCGATGCTGCACAGAAAAGTGTTATCTTTGGGCAGCAATACCTGAGTCAGCCTGGGTCCTGGGAACACGTACAGCAATTTAGCATTATGCCAAAACTAATGAACAAAACCCCACCTTCTTCTGTGGAGTTCATTTTGCTTTTTAAAGTGCCTTGCAAACCCAGCTAAACTGCTCCTCAGGGCTGAAGTACAGCTTCCACATACTGCAGTGCCATGCAGACATAGTAAAGTTACCCAACGATCCTGTTTTAAGTATAGGTTTGAGAAGTATTTGCTGAGAGCTCTGAATCATGCAGTTTTGCATACTTCTGCATAACAAAAATATGTACCCAACCAGTTAAGACCTAAATGGTTCAACTCCCTAGTTTGGTAATCTTACTCAAACATACTTCAAAAAATTTGCAGTTTCTGAGTGAAAAGTGTGTTGTAGAGAACTGAGTTTGCAGTTCTTTATATTCCTAAAAAGCTATAAATGCCTTGTTTTGAAATGACTCATGCTCCATGAGCTATAATCATTTTCTTAAAGGCACTGAACTGTAACCCACAATGGAAACTAGAAGCTAGTTCTTCTGATCAACAATATAAAAGCTTAACAATGACAAAGTACTTAAAAGTGTTTCCAGTAAATTTCATAATGGACCTATTCAAATTTAAACATTCTGTACCCTGTGAAATGTTGATAATTTCTTAAAAGCAAGCTTTCCTTTTTTCTTGCAAGTATTGAAGGAAGAATTGAAGACACTTCTACTTCCTTCCCAGAAGCATCCCAGAGCTGAGAACAATTTAAAGAGAAGGGTTTCTGTAAAGCTGAATGTATACAATAAGTGTAGCTTAACCTAACATTCTCAGTTAAAAGATAAGTTAAACCCCAACATTTTAATGTACTACTAATCCAGAATACTTCCTCTTGTACAATCTTGAATATGGCCAATGTAATTGCTACATATGTTGTCTTCATTGCAAGTTCACAACCTACTTGAAACAGTGAAATGCACACACAGCACAAATCCTACTGCATCTATCAGTGCTTATGTACAGGATAAAGAACAGTGCAAATACTAGCATTTAGCCTACTTTCATTCTTGAACTACACTATTGCTATAAATGCGTAAGAACAAAAATCTATTATGCAAGAGTAGTTAAATTTCCAAGCCCAATTTATTGGAAAAGCACCTTCAGTTAGTTTGTAGAAATTTACCATATTTTACATAATTTTGGTTGCTTCTAAAGCTGAAACACTGTAATAACAAAAACAATCTGAAATTATGAAGTCATGTATAAGCACCAGATTATTTAACATTTACAGTGCAAGACTTAATTTCTGTAAATAAATGGATTTAAAAAAAAAAAAATTCAAACAAGAGGCTATTCTACCAGTTCTCAATAATTTTGAACTTCCCAGCACATTTAGGGTATAGCCTCCTACTTGAAAAAAACCCAAATCTCTTTTGTTCCGAATTTATGAAAAAAAAAAAAAGGTAGCTGTGGATTGAAAGGCCCACTGACCCAACAACTGGACAGCCAGTCGCCTATGGAACAGCAGTGCCATCTTGCACCACAGGATAGTAGAGCTTGGATTCTTAATGTAGACTCTTGCTCTTCACACCAGAATGAAGACTGCTGCTATAAATTGCAAATAACAAAAGCAATTCTACTACAGTAAATAAAAATCGGAAAAAATAATTTATCTAAAATTACAATCTGAGAACAAGTCTGTTAGAAATAGCCATACCCGAAACCTGCCTTGTTTCTAAAAGCAACTGTTACAGTTTTAACAGCCACAGGTAGGTGAAGGCAAAACACAGTAAATACTGTTCTCAAATCACCAAATTAAGTCAGGAAGTTTGGAGCACAGCACAGAAGCCTGAAACAGTGACTAGGCCCAAAATTTTATTAGAAACTTATTTATGCAAGTCTGGTCTAAAGAATTTACATTGTATTAAAAAAATACTTTGATTGTGCAATAAGCAAGCTATTTCCCCTCTTCCCAGTACCACTGTTTCCAGACTTCAAACACAGCTACTTTCAACATGCATGTACATCAAGGAGCTAATAGCATTTCAGCACAGAACATTCGTCATTCAATTAGGCAGATTACTCTTCAGTCTGAGTTCAAAGTTTAGAGCACTCTGAAAGATGCTAAAAATCTCACACTAAAGCAGGGAGTTTATGTAGTACTAGAAACTGCAAACTAGTACTAGATTCCCAGCACCCCCACATTTGTAGTTATTTTGTTAAACGTTTGTTTATGACATGAGTTCTTTAATTTCAAGAACACTGAATGACCATTCATAATCTGCATAACCCCTTACAGGTAAGCACTCTCAAAGTGAGCAATGTTTCTTTTTCAAGTATCTTGGCATCAGCTCTCAAGTCTGACATGCAGTTACTTGTTTCTCTGTGTCTAGCTCCCATAAAATAAAAACTTACAAAACTAAATTATATATCTCACTTGTTATTTCTTCACTGTTTTACAGAAGATAATGTAAACTGTACTTCTAAAATTAAAAATATACTTAACTATAAAAGGATTGTGAAATAAGAACATAAACAATAGTAAACCATTCAAAATGTTCACAGTGCAGGGCATGATGGAACCAATAAGGTAGACCATATGCCACCACACTTAGATTGTTTTAGAAACCTTACTGAGAAAACAAAGCAATGCTACTACAAGAAACAGTACCCTTATACAAAGAAGTAAGTTATTGCATATTTATCACATTTATTTGCAACTCACATTAAGGCTAGATTTACTAAAATGATAACATATGTATAAACCCCACTTTGGGCTGCTTAACGAAGCAACAAATTTCTCTTACACTAAACCAACCTTTCATGAAGAAGAAAAAAAATGACCCAGTGAATACAGCGGGTAGCCAGCATCTCCTATTCATAGGACACACTTGCTTCATTCTAAAGAATACTCTGTCTGGGACACGATTTCCCAAACAGTTGACAGAAGCTCCGAGTTCACTGTTTCATCAACATCCCCCTTATTTCACACAGCACTAGTTGAAATACAACTAATTTACTTATTTACTTACTTATTTACTTACTTAATTATTAAAGATTTCCACAGCCTGATACTTAATCATGCCTTAGGAGAGTCTTGTTAACTCCACAGGCAGTAGCAGCCTCAGGATATGAATACAAACTTCTGCCTCACCATGAGTAAAGGCACTTTTGCTGGGAAATCAACTACTTGAACTAAAGAAGTAATTAAAGATTAGTTTTCACCTGAGGCTGAATAACATAACCTCCTCCAGCATTATCCCACCTTCTCAATTACTGTTCTTCACCACTTACTGTTTTGAACTGCCTTTGGATACCTTTTTTTTTTTTCTTCTCTTTTTTTTTAAAAAAAACAAAGTGAGACAAAGCTAGATGGAGCTATTTCACAATTTTTCTTGAAAGACAAGGCCTTCAGGACTCTTGTCCTCCAGAAGGAGGAAATGCAGCAGTCTGTTTCTCTCGTTGACTGATACAGAAGTCCAACATTCCTATTGCCAAGATTCTTACAGCATTAGAGTCCCAAATCAGGCAGCAGGCAGGTAAATAAACTAGGAGATAGTTCTAAAGCTATTTCTGAGGAAAAGCACTAGGTAACAGATCAAGTAGGGTAGATGAAGTAGGGTGGTTGAAGGAAGACCAAGATTTTGTTTTTGGATGACAAATGAGTTGCATAAAGACTCAGTGCATGAGCATACACTGTGATGAGACAAGGGCGTAGTTCATTCAACCTATGAAGTTACCAATTACTCACCTTTATTTTAGGGAAAAGTCCATTTTTAAATTTGGGACAACATGCTTGCTACCACAAGCTGCTGTGACAAATTATTTCAGTGCATTCCTCTCAACTGCAAAGCACGTGTTCAAACCCCAATAATGTTGTAGCTGAAAATGACTGAGGCTACATCATTTCAATGCTAACTGCAAGTGCAATTCAATACAACTGGATATATACAGAGCATACACTACACAAGAGATCTGAGGACAACAGCACAGAATACAATACTGGACACCCTTAAAATAGTTATTGCAAGCCTGATTAAGCCATTTAGTGTCACACAATGACTATTATCCATGCACCTGCCTTCCTCCTCAGCGAGACCTACAGAGGCTTATTTACATTCGATATAAATTCTACACAAGTAACCTCTCACAAAGTTTACGCTTTTCTTTTTGAAAGCAGCTTCAACTGGGATAACACAAAATTTTGCAACTTCTTACCCAGCTGGGGACAGTGCGTAAGAGTTGAAGCTAGACACTTTGGCTGAGTTCTACCCAGTTTACATATCCTTACTGAAGACAGAGGCAGAGTAGGTACAAGAAGTCAACATGCTAGAGATCTGACTCCAAGTACCACTGATCGTCAGCCAACAGAAGGAGGGAAGGTATTTTCGGCAAGCAACCAGGACAGAGAAAGGATGACAGTCTGAGGCTAGGTTTGAAATGTGCAACTTGGTTTCAAAATCACTAGGACAGAGGAGTCCTCTGAGAATCATGTTCATTGCCACTGCCGTAATATTGCAATGTATTACACAATAACGACTAACAAGTCCAATAATGTACATCAGAGCAGTTAGAAGTTTAGCAAGCTGGTATACTCCAACAGGTAAAAAGTCAATGACATTATATAAAAACACACAGCAACTGAAATTTAAAAAAAAAAAAAGAAAAAAGAATGCCCTCTAATGCACAGCTAGGAACAAGTGAACTGAACACTGGAAAGGTACTTTTGTGGATAAAGGCTATACTGCATTTAAAGTGCAACACTTGACTATGCCACTCCCGTACTGCAAAGAGAACAAACCCTTCCAAACCACCAGTCAGTCCCTGCATTGTATTTAAAAACAAACAAACAGAACAAAACAAAAAAAACCTCCTGAGAAAGAGTAAGGCTGGATAAGAAACCCCCTCAATTGCAACAGGCAAGTCTGATTTTTGTTCGTGTTTTGCTGTCAGAGGTCAAAACTTTTCATTATGGCATCATGGTCAAACTTGAAACTCAAGAAAGCTCTTGATGAGAAAGCAAATGTGTAATGGCCATTGCATGCCACAGAATGTCCCTCTACATGGTCTGGCAGTCGGTCTTCACTGGAGCAACACACCTCATATGCTGCATCTGCTTAAAGAAAAAGAAGCATGAAATAAATTTTAAATAGATAGTTACTGATAAGAGTATCCATAACAATACAAAACCATACCTCAAATGTATGTTCAATTAATATGTATGACAAAATCTGTGTATCAGTCATAAAACAGAAGAAGGTATCTCAAGCAGCCAGATTTACAAATCATACAGTGGCTAGACCAAGTCTTAAGTCACAGCAATCTGGGGTCACTTTCAATAGCCAGTTTTACCCACAGATGCTGTTTTGCAAGTCATTTCTTAATAAAGAGGATAAAAATACAGCCCTATTTTCTGACCAGTAAGTTAAGAACTGTGTGCACTCTCCAGAGTAGTCCAAAATCAACTGCATCTTATTACTAGTAGGACAGAAAGCCTTGAACCAACACTCAATTACCAGCATTGTTTCGACTCAGATGCTATTTTCATAAAGCAGCTTTCAGTTACTTTTTACTCAGCCACCTTGTAAAATCTGACAGCCTTAATAATTAAGAAGAACTGCAAAACCAACATGAAGCAGCACATGAAGTTAACCAAATAATAATAATAAAAAAAAAAAAAAACCTGCCTTAGGAAAACATGGTTTTATAACATTTGGTAGTTTAGCACACAAGTAAAAACGCTCAACCATCTTCATTTAGGTGCCTTCAGCCTGGAACACATGACAACGGATGAAAACTCAGACTGCACTTGCCTGTTTCAAAGTTATCTTGAAGTCTTCTTGGATTAAGCCTTTTTTCACATTTCTGGTTAAGAGAATGACCATACATTACACACTTCATAAAGAGCATTCTATTTCTCAGTGGTATAGCTTAAGCACCAGCTAAAAGGCATGCTGGTTATTTATTTTGACATGCTTCTTGATGTATGAACTGTTTTACTTATAACTCAGCATGAATTCTGTCATGTTACTTTAACTAGTAAGCATGCTTCAAGTCCACAAGTCTTTCAGAAGCATGCAACCTTTTCAGTTAACCAACTATTTTTAAAATGCAGGCTTTTCAGGAAAAATTTTGAGTACTTTCTAAATTGTTTTAAGCTGGAAAGGTCTTGCATATGATGTTGTGGAATCAAAGCTGCACATGCATAAGCCCATTCTTCAATCAGCTTGTCCCAAAAAGCAGGGGGAATGTATTTGCAAACACGCTGATACTACCACTTGAATTAGCATGTGTTAGAGACACGAACTTAGAATTTTCCAGGGAAAAGTTAATTTTAGCCCCAGATATGCTTCTCTAAGTTTACAAATACAAAGAAAACTATGACCCTTTGCACGCCGTGTGAATTAAGAGTTCCCTGGCCTCCAAACTGTATTAGAAAATGATCACTGGGACATGAAATATTTAAACTTCAAAAGACTGACAACCATGAAAACACAAATGAAACACGACAGAAGTATTAGCAAAGTCTGTAAAAAGCCTACAAAGTAACTGCAGACTATTAATAGTTGCACTTGTTTCCATCAAGATCCTACAGATTCTCCTTACAGTTTTTTCTGTACAAGCAAATTTCTGGGCAGGCAATTCTTTGACTTTTCATTCTTCTACTCTCAGGCCCAAACACAACTAACCATTTCTTGCTACAGTGAGGAGTTTACAGGATGAGAGTTTATGGTTTCTGCATTTTTACATGAAAAACAGAGAGAAGGTAATAACCGCAAGCCAAAATATGAATAATCTAGCTTACAGCCAGAAAACAAGAAAAACTAAAGCCTGGACAAGTCAGCTGAGCTGCATGGAAAACTGGGGCTCACTGATGCACAAGAGCCAAAAAAGCAGAATTGAGGAACCATAAAAAAAGGGGTGAGGGAGGAATCAAAAAGACATAATAATAATAATAATAATAATAATAATAATAATAATAATAATAATAATAATAATAATAATAATAATAATAATAATAATAATAATAATAATAAAAAAGATAAATTTCAGTGAGCCTTCTCCCACCCAGTAGAACTGTGGGTACAGTTAGTTTCTGTGAGGAAAAGGTAACAAACCAAGAATGTAATACGGGAATTTACAAACTGCTGTAGTTCTCCTGTATGATTAAAAAATTCTATGAGATTCTGGCATTCAAGTCAAGTCTGCATCTCAACATTTTTGCTGGAGAGAAGGGAAATAATAAGCATATGAATTACCACTTTGTATCTAATCGTTGCATAACAAAACTCCATGTTTACAGTAATATAACATACACAAAAGACAAGTACTACCCTGACTTACTATGGCAGACCACAGTTGGCTATTGCCTGACAAGAGCATGGAAAGCTGCAGGACTGTCTACTAGAAGAGCTGACAAATTTTCAACTGCTAAAATAAGACTTACTTCCAAAATGTGAACTTTGAAGTTTAGGATGCTTGTCTAGAAATGTATATGCATACGAAGCAAGTAATATCATATTTCTACAAATACATACCAAATATTCTGATCAAATACACTTTTGATAGATACTCACTCTACTTGATTTCAGCCTAGACATTTGTTAAGCATTACTGGAACCTGTAAATTATGGTACATTTCTTACCAATGTATGGTTTTGCTTAACTGGTTGACTGTGGACTCCATTTGTTCGTTTCTTCTGGTTGGAAGCATCTTGACACTGCTTTCTGCCATTGCTCCTCAAGCTCTGACTCTGCCATTAAGTCGAAAACGTAGTAAAGAAGAGTTTAAATGGCAGCACTGAACATCACTGCACTGATAGTTCCTACTTATTAGTTAAAACTTTCCTCCAAATAACCTCAAAACATGTGAACAGTATGTCTACAAACTGAAGCACACTGAAATTAACAAAAAATACACTCAAGTTACAGTCATCAGCTGTTACTCTGTCTCTCTTGAACTATTACAGACACTGTATTACACAGTAAATTCATTTCAGTGAGTTCCCATACACTGATGCATATATACTAATGGTATGCAAAATATTTCAAAATGGAACATGAAGGACAACAAAACGGTGAGTAGTAATTACCATTTATACCTGAAACACAACTACCACCTGATACGCACCACCTCAAATGTCTGATAAATCTGAAAATCCCCAAGATTCATTTTTCTCCCCACGTTTTTATTTTTGCAAACTATGGTGATAAAATTCAGTATTTTCATTCCAGAGAGGAATCTTTACAAACAAAGACATCTGTTTTAAATACCCAGATGCATATTTGCCTAAGAAATAACCTACCTTTATTTTCAAAACTTCAGACGGCTCAGGATGATTATATGGCTTCTGTGGCTGTTTTGGCTTCACACTCTGCTCTCCTGAAAAGCCATCTGTAAACACCTGCTGACTACAACGAAGTTTGGATCTAGTACAGGAGAAGAAAGAGAGTTTATAACGCAACTTCAAACCTATTGATAGCAAGAAAAATATGAAAGAATTTTCTGCTTTTTGAGAACAACCTGTAAGACATGCTTAAGTAACCTAGTGTGGAAACTGTAATAATGCTCACTGCATTTACCCAACTTTGTTTCGCCTTTGGGTAGGAAACCTATGTTCTGTATAGACAGCAGGCTAGGTCCATGTTAGCATTTGTCCTATTCATGTCAGTGTTAGTGCTGACCTGACTCAAATTACTGGAGCATAGCCCTGTCTTTGGGACTATATGTTTTGAAGCTTGCTCTATGCCTTCTAGATCAGCTGAATCAAGAGCCAGCTGCATTTGCTCCACTGCTGACCTCCACAGGCTTTAGCTAACTGGCTACTTCTGATAGTACTTTACAGTACTACTTTAGAGAGTCCTATTTTTCCCCTGAGGATGCACCAAAAGTGTTGAACTTCAAGCACTGAAAGTTATCTACTTATTTTTTTGGATTCCCACAGTCAGGACTCAAGAAAATATTTCAGTTCAGACATGTGAGAATTTAGAAAAAAAAAAAACGTATCATTACATTAGCTTCTCATCCTATTTACAGTTCTATGCTCACAATTTATATTTTTATTAACCCAGTCTATTACTGAAACATGAATGCTCGTAGCAAGAGAAAGGGCAAGCAGTTTTGTATGGCTGATGTTTTATAGAAAGGATATAGAGGTGTTAGACTGACCTGATTCTTACCTAGCTTTTTCCAAGTTGGGCTTAGAGGGTGTGCCCCCTGTAGATGAAAGTCCATTGTCACTATCTGAGGAATCTCCATTCCTCTGGGAAATCCACTCCCTCAGTGGCCTGTGAGAAAGAGAAGTGCAACAAGATCTACTTACTGAAACAAAGTTAAAGTTGCCTGAAAAGCACTGGCCTAGATTTGTGTCATCTCAAACATACCTGATGAAGGGAATTGCCATAAAAAATTTGTTAGGTGCCAAACCCAGCTTGGACTTTGGGGTCATGTCATTTCTATGGCATGGTAATTTGTCAATGGAAAACCACTCAATATTCTAGAAAAACAAGAAATAAAATCAAAATAGCCACTACTGTTCCTTACAAAATATTACAACTGTGTAATTTCCCTTAATTAAAAAGTTACAACAGAATACTTTAATTAACAGACCACAACAGGGTTTTTCACAGAAGGTTAATTAACAATGGGTTCATTCTTCTGACTGCAACTACAAGAGTAACAGATGGTACAGCACACACTCACTGAAAGATATGGCACCTAAAATATGAAAGGTATTAACTAGCAACTGAATTCAAAATAAGGGTTTCAAAAACCAACCAACCAAACCAATGCACAATGAATGCCATAAATAAAGAGGCTTTAAATAACTTTCAAAGCCACTACTATTCTTGCTATTTTTATTTAAAATGCCATCAAAACTAGACCACCAATACCAGTTCAAAAATAATAAGAAAGAAAGGAATTTAGTTTACAGAGTTTTAGTTCTTGTTATAGAAGAAAAAAACATTGGTACAGGATAGGATTTGTGTTATAATGGATACCTTATAGCTTTAACTAGTAAAACTATACTTTGCTGAATGGGGAACAAAATCAGGAATTCTGAATATATACAGTGTAAAAGAACCACCATGAACTTTTCTATTGCAGAACCAAGACCCAGAACCTCAGGTCCAGCTTAGGTGTGTATTATGGAAAGAAGTTACAAACTGAGTTTTCAATACAGTTCTACAGGGAATACTAAACCGGCATGTCTAGTTGTATTAGACCAGATAAAGAAGGTGCTTCAGCAAGGAGACAAAAATCTGTTATTGTAAGAATTTTCCATCACTCCCACACAGGTGGTCACTGCTATACAAAGGAGGGTATTTACTGTACATTTTTAGAAATTCTCAAATTTCATATTTTGAAAAACAGGTCTCTAGTGCAAGAAATTAAGAGACTCCTGTCTAGTCAACTACAAGTACCTTTATCTATTTGGGTACTTTCACAATACCTTTTTAAAAGCCTAATGGTATACAAACCATCCGAAATAGTTCCCATTTTTTGCCCCCTTCGCAACCTCCTCCTTAAAATACACTGTTCTCTAAGTCTGAATGGTATTAGCCATGAAGACCACCACAATCCTTAGTTTCTCCTTCTGATACACAGGCTTTTGTGTATCACCAATTAATAATTACCTTTTAAAAGGAGTATGTAGTTAGATATGCAGCTGTAACTAGGATTAACATGAAACGATTAACACATACACTAGCTAAGAGAAAAGGGGAGAATTGTAGTTTGACAGCATGCTCTAATGTTGTTTTCATAATGAATGGAGATGTCAGACAGATGGTCAAGAATCAGTCTTCGTAGTAGAGTCGCAAGAAGTTGACAACATCCTACAGTGCAGAGATGCCATTTGTACCTAGTATTTGAGGTATTCATCATGCTTGGTAGTTTCATTATTTTACAGACCATTAGCTGTAAAAAAATCAAGCCGCACAAGGTTTCTGTAGATTCAAACAAGGTAACACATACCCGAATTTCCCTTCTAGTTTTGGGGTTGAACTTTGTGTTCTTGGGAACTCCTGGAATGATGTACAGCCGTGCTAACTGATCATTAATTCGCAGCTCAATGTATTGGTCTTTGCAGATATAATCTTTTATGTCAAACCCAGTTTCTTCAAATACCTGAAAACCATATGGATTTTATCAGTGTGTGTATTCAAATTTATCCTTTCAGAGCCTACCATCATAAGGAAGGAATGACTATTTTTCAGATCTATCCATGAAAGCAGGACACTGTTGGGAAAAACAAGCCTTTATACATAGATACATACTCAATAATGGAAAAATTATCTAAGAGCCTATGTGCTTTACATTTTTGTAAGATAGACAGACCTATACTAAAAGTTGAAACAACTCTATTACACCTTCATGTAGCAATTTATTAATATGGATGGGAAGTCTCTAGCTGTTCTTCCATGCTGCTGGATGCATAGAAATCTTATCTTATTCTCAGCAAAAAGTACAATTTGAGGAGTAAAGACATCTTTCAAATTCTATCACTGTTTACTTGCACCTCATTTTCTCTTCTCTTTCAACAATTCTTCTACCCCCAATACATATAATCATTTTTACATTCATAACAAAACCCAGCAATCGGGTAGAAAAGCTACAAAATTCAAACTGCACAATCACACTGACCAGCAAACTTAAAACTGCATTGTCAGCTACCCTGAAGAAAAATAACAGGAGTGTTATACCTGCTGGAGATTACTAGAAAGACAATGATATTTTAAAAACACTTCCTTTGCCTATTTTATGATCTTGCAGTGAATGATCATAGATGCACAGAATGGTTTGGGTTGGAAGGGACCTTCAAAGATCATCTAGTCCAAACCCTGCTGCCACAGGCAGAGACATCTTTCACTGGATCATGTTGCTCAAAGCCTTACATTAAAATACTTAATTTTTATAACATTCTCAAATATACAACGTTTATAATAAAAAAATATTCATGTCAAACACACCTCATAGAGGCATTATCTGATTTAAGCTAAGATTACTAAGTAAAGAGGTTTTTTTTAGAAGCTTCCTAGTCCTCAAAATCCCCACAGGAAATACGAGTACTCAGAAAATACCCAAGATTGATACCACTATCCAAAATATTTCTGCCCAGACAGTGGAACATGCATGTGAACAATCACTCACAGAACTGGATACTAACCCCAGGACTATTAAGTCCCAAAGCCAATAATCCAATAGAAGTTCTCAGTTAATTTTTTTTTTTTTCACAGACCAAATTTAGAATTAAAAAGAGGGACAGGATCTTCAGTAAAACCCCTTCTCAGCCCTCATCTCTTGTGGGTACATATAATTACAAAATAGAACCAATAACTGCATATAAAATCATAATAGCAGGAAATAAAATATGTTATGCAAAATACCAATATTTATATTGGTATCAGCAAAATGGTTGTAAGTTCCATTTGTGAAAGTGCAGAGGAAATTAAGCATAAATATGAAAAAAAAAAAAAAAAAAAGCAGTGTTTAATAGGAAGCAAATAACTGATTAGTTAGTCTTCAAATTAGCACATACAACCCCTCTTATATCAAAACAAAAAGCAAGCCATCTTCCCATCTGATTACATTAAGAACAGCAGAATTAAGGGGGAGAAAAACAAACAAAAAACCACCTCACACTGTCTCAATTAAGAGAAGATACGCTTTTCCTTCATAGTTATCCTTATGACTAACAGCAATGTTTTCCTTTCCTAAATGAGCTTTCCAGCTGATTTAAGTGAATTAATTGTAGAAACCCATTGTACCAAGAGAATCAAACATTTAGTATGTTTTTTCCCTCATCAACTTCTGAAATACTACTGAACTGTGCAGACACTGCCCACTGAATACCTCTCCAATTAGACCTTATACAGATGCAGTTTATGGTTTTAGACCTGTGCTGACTCCAATAAAAGCGGTTAAAATATTTATGCACAGATAATACTGACATCCTGATTCCAGCCACAGCAAGCCTGGAAGAATTTGCCAGTTTACCCACAATGACAATCTACCTTGATGGAAAAAGATCATAGCAACAGTGTTGTTCACTAGTGTAATTTAGATCAATTCTCCAAGTTAAAACCATCATCAAAAGAGTTTTTTCACAGTATAACTGTGCCCACTTGTGCTCATTTTGGCTGGGATAGAGTTAGTTTTCCTCACAGTACCTAGCATCAGTGGTTGTGCATGAGGTCATGCTGGAGCACCTCAGCGTGTGGCCACAACAGAGCACATACACCCCTGGAGGGACTGCAGCCATGGGCAAGGACACACTGGAGCAGGTTTACTTCTGAAGGGACTGTAGCTGTGGGTAAGGCCACACTGGAGCAGGTATCTCTCTAAAGGCACTGTGGCCCATGGAAAAGGCCACGCTGCAACAGTGCATCTCAAAACAACCACGGCTGTGAATAAGTCTATGCCACAGCAGGTACACCCCTGGAAGGACTGTGGCTCATAGATAAGGCTTCACTTGGAAGGACTCCAGTCTGTGGATGAGTCCAAGCCAGAGCAGGGTCAAGGGGAGGAGTTCAGTGCAATGTTAAATCAAATGGTTCGGTCCGAAGGCACCAGGGGAGGAGATTGTAATGAACATACCTTTAAATTGTCGTAACCTGGGATTTGAGCTGCACGTCAGAAGAGTTACTATAACAAGAACCCCTGTTTACTTGCCAGGCTAGGAGCAAAGGGGAGGAATTTATTACAATGTTAAACCCCAAAATCTGTCACCAAGGGACCAGGGGTGGAGAGACTGTAATGAGGTGGAAATTGTAATTACATTCAGTCATTCCTTTCTGAAGCAGTTGCACCTAGTTTGTCCTATCCACTGTGTTGTGGTCCACGTATTTTTATGATCTCCTTCCCTTCAATTCAGTCCTTTAGACCAACTCTAAAATCACCTGACTAGTGAAAGTTTAACTGAACAGCTACTTATGGGGTGGGAGAGAGAGACATGCACTGAATAAACAAGTTAACTTTATTAAGTCTCTGCTCATCCTTCCCCAGCCCTTGAGTTTTGCAATGACAGCCCAGTGTACCTGTAGCTCAGGTGTTTCACTCTTTTGCAAGTCAATTGTTACTGTAATGTTCCATACTCAGAGATCAGTAACTGCTAACATGAAAGCGTATTTCATCTGCGTTCATCACATAATAATGCAATGTTAAGATCTAACACTTTATTTTGCTTTTCCAAGTCCATCTAAATACACCAGTGGTATGGAAAACACCATCAGGGAATCAGAAATATGGAACTTTTCATTCATGCATCTTTGACAGGTGTATTTAAAAAAAAATATTCCATGATTTTTCAGACATTGATTCAGTCTAACCATAAAGAAAAGTAATGCATCTTTCTACTTCTCATCTTAATCTTCCCTCTCAAAAATTCTGGATGTATTATATTACATGAAAATTGAGTTTCTACCAGTACTATTTTTTACAGGCTATTTTTAATATGCAGCTTCACTATATATCTAAATCTCCATCAGCAATAAATCCCATACATTATTTTATTTTTCAGTTTTTACTTGTCAAATGCATTGATCCTTGTTCTTGCATCACTGAAAAAAATAAAAAAGCTCTTCAGAGTTTTTACATAATTCTTCAGCCTCTTCACACAGCCCAGCATGCATAAGCTAAATTCCCATTCTTATACTTTTTCAGTTATGGTGGCCCTTAAAATTAATATTCCAAAAGCCACAAATCACCTCAGAGTTCCCAAGCACCGAAAATAATGCTTAAAAGTAAACTGTTAGTTCAGCAGAGAACTTTAAAAACAGTACTCACTTAACTTAGCAAGTCAGTGCAAAACAATTAAAAACATTTAACAGTGGTTTTTAAACTGTACAGTCACACCCTTGATTATCACTCTGGAACTCATAAAAGCACTAACAGCAGAAAAAACCTGCAAGAAGAGATTACTTATTTACCTTACTTCAATAAAGAGATAAATAAGTAAAGTATCTTTTCCCATCTAATGCGTATATTATATGCAGGAGCTCGGAGCAAATTTAATTTCTTTAGCTGAAATTTAAGGGAATCAAATGTAACTTACTTCTCTAGCAGCACAGTCATGAGGAGCCTCTTCTTTATTTACTTTCCCTTTTGGAAATCCCCAACCAGACTTTGCTAAATAGCCCTGAACCAAAAGAACCTGCAAAATACAAAGGAATACAACTGTCAAACACTCACTACTCTAACCAATTTCTATTAGATGTCTTCTCCAAAAAGATACTTTAGCCTGGAGGAAGAAACCCATTTTTTTTTCCTGTGTTCTAGCAAGAACTGAGAAATTTTGTATGGTACCATGCAACTCAGAATAAAAAAAAAAAAACAAAACACTGAGTAGGAAAGCAAGCAGAAATGTGTTTACTGTCTCCCATATTGTATTTCTGTACACACTCAACAGTGTCAAGTAACTGTCAGATCTTCATGAATCTGAAGCACTTTTTTTTTCCTGTAGATGAAACATGTAAACAACAAAAAGATTCCTTCTGCCAGCACCTGCCATCCTTCCCTCTAGCCCTTCACAACTATTTCCATACTTACATTTTCAAGTGTCTCATCGAGAATAATTGCACCATAGGTTGGCACTCCCATTTTGTATTCTTTCCACTCTTCTAAAACCTTTTGTACATCTTCACCTTGAGGCAGTAAAAAAGGGCAGTGATTGAAGAGTAACAGCAGAATGTTAAGGAAGATAAACTTAAGCATCCTGTGTCAGATCACACACAGACATACAAAACATATCCACTCCACATTTATAGTAACCATCCTGCCTACTCTAAGTGCTTTCAAGACACATTCTCTGGGAAGTAAAAAATATTATAAATAATCCATAACCAAACTCTAAAAGTCAGAAAGCATCAAGTAATTTGGTGATTCTAATAGAGAACAACTGAAAAAAAAAAAAAAAAAGGACAAAAGATGGGGCAAGGCTGCTTCTTTGAAGGCCTCCCCTAATTTTGAAGAAGTGTCCACATCACAGGTATTTTGAATATGCATTATTCTTAAACACATTTTTTTTTTTTTCATTTTGAAGGGAGACAAACAAAAATACAGTTTCATCTCCTGCTTGAAGTGGAAATAAAGTTTTCCTACTATTATTTGTTAGACTATGGTACAGAATCTGTACTTAAGTATTTTCTATGCAAAAAAAAATATTTTTAATGGCATCAACTTACAGACATTTAAATTCTAATACACTTTACCAAAACTCGCCATGCAAACACGAACAACCTTTGTAAGTCTAAAACTTTGAAAGCAATTCTACAAGTCCTTAATAAAAGTATTAATATTATATATTACATATAAAAATTATACTGCAAATAAAACATATTCCATAGCAGAGTACTTGAAAATACAACACTGTGGAAGAACTAATATTTCTGGTAAATGTGAGCTGGAGAGGGACAGATGTAATGAGCAAATAACATCTATTACACTGTATTTCTCCTGCACTGCTTACAATTACCAAAAGAATTCTACTGGTCTGAAAATACATTTATAATTAAAAATTTATCTAAAATAAATAAAAAATAACTATAATGTCAAGCAACAGAAAATTATCATATTTTTACAGTTTAAAATAAAAGCTGTGGTGTTTCAAAATAAATCTGATCTCAAACTAACGGAGAAGTACATTGTGTAGTCAAACCACTGATAATATTATCATTAAGTATTTTGGGTAATAAAACCACAAATTAGTATTATCATGAAAGTAAGAAGCAATACTCCAATCCCACATCAAGAACACATGGGAAAAGCTTAAAACTAAAATACTTGCTAGAGGAAAGTCACAATTTTTTTTCTCCAGCAAGGACTAGATAGTGTATATTCCAGCGGTCCTTGCAATCAAGGAAGAAAGCAGAGGCCAACCATATGAATTCAGTGAAAACACATCCTCTCCCCTTTCAACACAACATTTTCTAGGAGCAACTGTCAGTATTTCTAGTAAATACATACCACTGCCCATGGGGGAACACACACCACTGGCATCTACTTTAACATCTATGCCAATACTTACTTGGAAAGGGATCAAATTAAGGATACAAGACACCATGACGAGCTCCAACACCTCATCTCTGAAACACACCTAGTGTGACAAAGTGCAACCATGAGGAAAAATCCTCAATGATCAGAAATTACCTGTTTTCCATAGTTCTTTAACAGTCTGAGAAACATCTCTTTTCTGGATGTCACAAAACTATGGAAGCAATGATGAACAGATAAAACCATGTACCTAGCGATACTAACTTTTAATCACTAACACGTGAACTGACATTTTCCTGCTGCAAGTACAAAATTCTGTTAACGATGTTCAGTTTGCACTTTACCCACTGAGACAGAAAACAATCACAGTAATAAAAAGGATATCAGCTTTAGCAAAGTCTCTTATCCCACACTGAGGTAATCCTGGTGTGTTTTGCATGTAGAAATCCAAGTAAAACCAGTGGGCAAGTTCAATCTGAAAACACACTCTAATTGCATTATCTCTCTCTTCACTTGGAATGTGCAAAATAAATCGGCTGTCAGGAAAGAAAGAAGAGTAAGATTAGTCCAATCAATTTAAATAAATCTAACAACAAAAATGCATTGCAACAGTGGAATTCATGATCAATTAGCACAAAGCAACAGATCACTAGATCTTCCTGGTAGTCTGGACAGCAAAATGTTTTCACATCAAAAATACAGCTTTAAAATCAAGAAGGAGAATTGATCATGATGATCTTTCACAAAAGCTATTCACAATAAACTAGCAAATTAACTGTTGTGAAAACAGGGAGGACAAGGACATCCTACTTAAATCCCTGTATTACAAGAACAAAAGCATTTTTACATGTCCAGTAAAGAACACCTACAAACTCTGATAACAGATGTCAACTAATTTTTCTCTGGGGACACATTAGACACAGTTATGTATTTTCACTTAAAACCAGTTAACTACTAATATATGTAGATTTAAAAATTCAATACTATCCTATTAATTTTCACAGTCTGAAATAGAACCTGGACAGTTGGTTTATTTTTCAAGCCTATTTTATGCTTTAGCTCTGATATTGACATACAAACTTCCAGAGTCCCAGAGATGTAAGTGTAAGTTGCAGTGAGATAGCCTATTTTACTTAAGCAGAAGACGCTTTACTTATTTATTTGTAAGATCAAGAGTTTTTGTTTTATAAAATCTGTCATTCACCCCATGGAACTTAAACCACTTGACAGAGATTTTTACATTGAACTCCTGAGTACCACCAGCTAAATTCCAAAAGCAGAGTGTCACTTCCAGAACCAGAAACACTTAAGACTTCTTTACTTAAAATTTGACACGTACGTATAAATTGAAAGAGGTCAAAAGTGGCTGCCTCTCCCAGCCACTCTGGCCGAGGACCACCTCCTGCCTGGCCACTGGAGCCCAGTCCCAGGGTCTGCTCCCCGGTCCAAGGAACACGGCTGCCACTTTCCCTTTGGCGGGTTCAACCAGTAGCAAAGCCCAGCATGCATCCCAGGAACACACACAGGACACTTCAACAGCACCTACATATAGGACTCGCACAAAACAGAAGCACAGAGAGCCAAGTCCTCTTCTCTTCTTTAGCTGGCAGAGGCAGAAGGTCGCTAGTGCAGGCACACACTTGACACTCTCCAGGTTCACAATACATGCCCATTCACAGATCCCCCAAGTACCAGCACAGCTCCCTCTGTCCACCCAATACCCCTACCCAGATCCTCATACCCATTACACAGGTCCCTGACTTGCTGGCTGGTCCAGCTTGAAGTTTGCTAGTGAGTACATGTGCACAACAGCTTTGGGGAAGATAAGACACACCTCTCCCTGAATCCCAGCAGCTGTCACCAGGCATATGGGCTACAACCCACAATCCCGCCCAGCCACCAGCATGCTGCCTCTCACTCACACAGTTCCCCCCAGCAGTAGAAGGTTTTCAGGACACTCGCTGTTCCCACCCCAGAGGCTGGAAGCTGAGAACCCCACCCATGCAAGTAGCTGGCACTGAGATATCTCCCCATCCACTCACACACATAGCTCTCATCAGTAGCTGGCACTTCATCTTTTAAACACACATGTACGTGGTGTAGAGAGCGAAATTATGCAGAAATAAAATTAAGAAAATATTTAATAAGAGGATAGGACAGACTATGGCCATCAGGCAAAAGACTCAGCCAGACAAGTGTAATGACCAGCCCAGTTATATCCCTTCCTTCCTACCCCTGATTTTGTCCCCTCCTGCGCCCCTTCCCCTGTCGTACCCCCTCCCACCCCAGTGTGTGAGATCCCCCCTGGTTTACAGCTTTATCAGATGCAAAGGCCAGGCAGATCTTCCTGGAAGTGATTCCTGTGGTTTCTTGATAGACCACCACTTAGCGTGACTGGAAGGTCTGTTTCTTGTCATTTGTCTCCATTTTTGTTTTCTTAGGTTTGTGTCTATATTTTTGGTTCCGATTTCCCTCTTTTTCCCTTAGCTTCCCAGGAGCAGGTCCTCCTCAAATCAACTTGCTGGAAGGAACATTCCAACACCCCCTAATCAATCAGTGGCCAGATTTGGTTCTCATCACCGCCTCCCTTATTGTTCCTCCCTCAGGTTTGTGCCCCTGTACATTTTGTTTATAGCTTCCTCCTTTTCTCATTATCACGTTTTTGCATTGAGAAAGGTCCTCAACCAGATACCCTTAAAGAAGCAGATGCTCTCCCTTACATAAATAACCTTAGTCACTTCGACAACAATATTTTTGTACTTGCTAATTTTCGATTGGCAATACTACCCTCCAACTGCTCCTTTCTTTTTGAAGGCTCTGAAAATAGCCCTTACATTTAAAGCTGCTGTATATTAAAGGTAAAAAAATAAAAGTCTATTTTATTTTTATTGTGATTTAGGCCCAGCCAGCAACTCAACATCATGCAGCCACTCACTTGCTCCTCCACCTCCAGGGGACGGGGAGGAGAAAACATAACAAAAGGGTCCTGGGTGGAAACAAGAACAGGGAAGACTCACTCATTTATCATAGTCACAGGCAAAACTCAGACTTGACTTGGGAAAAAGACATCAATTCAATTTGAACACCACCACTAATTATTTAATAATAAAATCAGAGTAGGATAAATAATACAAGCACATCTTAAAAACATCTTCCCCAGCTCAGCTTTGCTCCCGATTTCTCTACCTCCTCCTCACCAGCGGCACAGGGGGCGGGGGATGGGGGTTGCATTCAGTTCATCACTCCTTATCTCTGCCACTCCTTCCTCCTCAGTGGGATGACTCCTCAAACTCTTCCCCTGCTCTAGGATGGGATCCCTCCCACGTGACACAGTCCTCCACGAACTTCTCCCACGAGTCTTTCCCACAGGCTGCAGCTCTTTACAAACTGCTCCAGCATGAGTCCCTTTCGCAGGGTGCGGTCCTTAAGGAACAAACTGCTCCAGCACAGGCTTCCCATGGAGTCCCAGCCTTCTTTGGGAGCAGTCACCTGCTCTGACATGGGGTCCCCCACGGGCTGCAGGTGGCTATCTGCTCCAGTGTGGACCTCCGTGGGCTGCAGGGGACAGCCTGCCCTCCCACCACAGACTGCAGGGGAATCTGTGCTCTGGCACCTGGAGCACCTTCTCCCCCTCCTTCTTAACTGACCTCAGTGTCTGCAGAGGTGTTTCTCTCACATCTCACTCCTCTCCCTTCTTCCCCACTTCGCCTTGCTAGTTCTTCCCCTCTTAAACACATTATCACAGAGGAGCTATCACCGTTGCTAATTGACTCAGCCTTGTCCCAGAGCCCAGGAAGCTTTGAGCAGGTTCTTGCAGGAGCCACCCCTGTAGCCCCTCCCTCACTACCAAAACCCAGCCACACACAAACCCAACACAATTTTATAACTAGCTGATGATGTCTGCTTGCCCCAGCACTGCAGCTGAACATAAATCTGAGGATACAATATGTAGAAATAGTAGCAAAGAGGAATATGCCAGCATTAGGCTTAGAGTACCAAGAGCAAAGTCAGTTAGAATACTACTTACTGATCAGAAAGTTAACTCCTAAGATACTTAGAGTGACTGAAGTGCTAACAACAGACATCTCTAGGCAGTATAAGGTGCAGGTGCCCATGTGCTGGCAGCTGGGGGCTGTGGAGTGGCCGCAGGGGCTGCCCATGATGCATACAGCTGTCTCAGCTGAAGCCAGCAGCCAAGATGGTGCTGCCTCTAGGAAAGCATATTTTAAAAAGGACAAAAGTGTCAGACAGGCAGAGGACGAGACAGAAACAGTGTGAAACAGCAGCACAAACAACAAGGTCAGAAAAGAAGGAGGGAGAGGAGATGCTCCATGGCAAAACAAATGTCCACACTGCAGCCTGTGGAGGATCCCATACTAGAGCAGATGGTTATTTCCTGAAGGAACTTCAGCCCATAGGACTGACCCCACTCTAGAGCAGGAGCAAAGCATGAGGAGAAAGGAGAAGCAGAGACAAAGTGTGATGGACTGACCACAACCCCCATTCCCCACCCTCCTGTGTTGCTCAGGGGGGACGAGGCAGGACTTAGGAACGAAGGGGGGAATTTGAACCTGAGAAAATAAAGGGATGTAGGGGAAAGTGTTGTTTAAAATTTTTTGTCTTTGTTTCTCTCTATTCAAATATATTTTAACTGGTAACAAACTAAATTAACTTTCTCGAAGTCAAGTTTATTTTGTCCATAATGGTAACTGGCAAGCAACTTTCCTGTCTCATCCTGAGCCACAAGCTCCTATTTTCTCCCCCATCCTGTTGAAGAGGGGGGAGTGGTTTGGTGGGCAGAACAACTCAGTAGCACAAGACAGCAGGACAAAAAAAATTATGTTGATATCTGTGACTTGTTATTTAACAGAATAGGTCAGAACAGTCCTACTACTGAAGCTTAAACACACAGCAACTTACCAGAACTAGAATAAACTGTATTCTGGTATTGTGTGGTTTTAAAAAAGCCTAGGAACATAACAAATGGTTGAAGGCATTATGTACCTGGCTTTAGCTTTCAACATGTTAACAGATGCTGGCAAGTAACATTTTAGTGCCTGACTAAGAATGGAGGTGTAACATTTTACTCCCCGAACATTAATTCAAAGTGTAGAAGTCTCTTAATTCAGTTACCAGGGAAAAACTGTGACAACTTGGAAAAGAAAATGTTAAATGCAAGTATACTAGATTAGTGTTTTTAATCTTATTTTTGTTATCCTTCAGATAAGGGCTTTGCAGTGAAAGCATTTAACAATAATCACGACCACCATTATCACTTACGCTAAATTCTCACACAGATCTCTACAGCGGAATATAAAAGCCTACTTGTTATTTACACTGTTGGGTATAAGTTGTGGGTTATGGGTTTATGGCCCTTTTAAGAGCCAGCTTATACTGATCTCTAGTACAGGTTTCAGTGCTGTGTAATTTCAGTATTAGATTCTTTGAAGTCAGCTATGAATATCTGACTCTGAACATACCTATTACAGCAGGTAATTTTCTACGTTGAGCGCCACAGGACAAACAAAGCCCATGGCCTGAAAGGCCTATATCCAATGTACTTGATTTAACAAAGCTACCACACAAGAGAATTTTTAGTAATGTAAAAAAAAAATCCTTCATTTGAGCTTAGCTATAACCTATATGAAATTATTGTATATTCCACCACTCACGGTATGGAAAAACATTAAGGTTAATATCAGAGAGAAAATCCACAAGTACATATTCAGCCTGCAGGGTTTGAAATTTTTTTTCTCCCACAGAAGAAACAGGTACACTGTTTCCCTTGTCCAGTTAAAAACTTCATTTGATGCTGAATGCTACAGTTGCTACTGAATGGCCAAACTTCACCCTCAGCAAAATCCATGATGGCACAAATACTATAAGCAAAACTTTGTAAAAGTATCATCAAGGTACAAACTCAGTCTAAGAAAGTAGTCCAGACCCTCATAAAAGTTCACATATCTCAAAACTGAGTTAAGTTACTGCAGACAATACAAATTTAGAGTCTTAGCCCAATTAACTACACAATTGAACAGTGTTTGTCAACTTAAAATTAAAACTAATAACTACAAAAAGAAATCCAGTCATTCTGCACAGTACCCAAGAACTTGGAAGCTTTAACTCACAGTTGCAAAAATAAAATAATTGATGTGGTAAAGGTTACCCAGCAGTACTTCATGTTTTTTTAACCTGTTGGGCTCAACAAAAACAAAGAACCACCACACCCTCCCCTCAAGACATAAAAACTAAGATACCAGCTGAAGCACCTTTATAAGCCTTTGGAGCTAACAACAGCCATGAGAATTACCTGCAGGCATTAAACAGCTGTAGCTGTCCTGACAGTGGAATTATTATTTAGGCTCACTGAATTAGCTGGAACAGTTGCAAGTGATCTGACAACCTACACAGGAGCCTACAGAGAATCCAGGCCTTTTGCTTCAGGCCAAAGGAAAATATTCCTGTCCTAAGACAAAGTGTACAAGTCTGAGAGATATAGTAGCACTCTCAGGATACAAATAACAGTAATTCTGTTTTGTGGACGTGCAAGCTTTAACTTGGCTTTTTGGTTTTCAAATACACCAAAAAATGAAAAATGAAAAATGCCTGTTAAAAAAAAAAAGAATCTCAAACTAAGGGGCAATTTTGACTTGAAAGCTGATTTAATTGCTTAGCTTAATAAGAATAATACAAAAGCTTGCCTTCTCATAAGAATTCACTAAGTTATTTAGATTTGCAGCTCACACTGCTACAGTTCATATAAAAAGATACTAGAGAATCTGTATGGGTCCTGTAACTTTCCAAGGGGGAAGGGGAGGAAGCAAGGAGGAAGGGGAGGGGGGGAAGAAAGAAAGGTAAAAAAGAAGTATAGGTTGTACTAAAAATATTTTGAGTCTTCTCAATAACTGAGTACAAAAAATTGCTTGGCTCTTTCTATGAGAATTTCCACTAATATCATATACAGACTGAAGAATGTGGGAAGCAACAGATATTTTAATAACCCGTTTATAGCCAACAACCTGAAGCACTGCACCACTGATCTTCCACTTATTTAATAATTTATCTTCTCCCTTGATCCAAGGCCTGTCAGTCCCTGTCACTCTTCCTGTTCATACCAGAATCTTTTCTCTTTCCAACAGGAAAGCCTGACTCCTCTGCTTCCTTCAGTTGTTCTGTCCATATCCAAGCAAGGCAACATATTTGAAGCAGGGCTGATCTGTTAGCAGTAATGAAAATCAACAAGGTGAATTAGGAAAAGATGAAAACCGAGACAGATGGTAACTACAAGCCCCTGATGTACCATTCTAAGGCTTTTTTTTTTTAATTAAAGCCACATGACTACATTCATACAATTATAAGACAAAACAGCATTTCAAAGGTAGAAGATGACAGCAGCTCAGAGAAACACAGTAAGACAGCAGGACTGACCCTGTAACAGTGCAAGATCTGATTACACATGTGTCCTATCAGTCACCCCACGGGAGTAACACTAATAGGCTATTTCAGTTTTGTAAGCATTGCGATTCCCCTTTGGATTGTCTGAGAAAGTCTTTATATGTGAGCAGGCATCTAAAAGACAAGACCCAGCTCTCTGTGGGGAGCCCAAAGGAGACGATGGAAACTTGAACATGCTTCACAGGCCGGACTGAGAGAATTGAAAATTTACTTGCTTACTGTAAATTCCGACTCTTGCACTAGCTACACAAAAAAGCACTACTGAGTGGAGCAGTTCTAGCTTCTGGTGGTAATCTCACTTCTAAGCATTTTCACTCATTTGAAGACAGTAATTCCAGTAGGTGGACTACCCTTCAGCTCTAGTAACCTTCCCTCTTGTACATATATAATTCAGAGGTGGTCCTTTCAAGGTGGTAAAACAGAAAGATTATTTAATGTCAAATTATCATACCAGTTTGGGTATCAAATTCTGGTGATAATAGAGGACCTAAAAAGTCCAAAGGGCTGCACTACAGATGATCAGAGGATGAGATCATATGGGGGAAGTGTGCCTCCCCCCCTCCCCAAGAAAACAGAATCCATGTTCTCTGAAAATTTAAACGTGCAACCTTCAGGATAAAATCCAACCATTTCACACCAAAAGGACCGGCAAGCAGGAGAGGACAGGTTCAGACTGAAGGATATTCCCTTGGCGCTTCCTCTTCTGTCTCACTGGAACATTCCCTTCCTGCAGAGGTAAATCAGCAAAAGGGACTTTCTGCCCCCCCTTGTAAATGAAACCAGACTTCTGAATGTGTCACATCAACTCATCACTACACACATCACATCAACCTTACGCTTCTAACTCTTCTTTCACCCGCACCGTTCCACCTCCCTCGGCCAAACATTGTGAACACCATAAGGAGCACCTACAGGCCTTTTCCTCCACACCCGGCCTCTTCCCCGCCGTCGGTTTAGCCCGGGGTCGCACGGGGGGAGCCATGCCGAGCCGCCCGGCCGCAGCGGGACCACCGACACCTCCCCCTTCCCCGGGCCGCCCCCCTCGGAGTCCCGCCAGCCCACGGAGCGCCTCGAGCAGCCCCGAGCAACGCGGGCCCCACGCCACGCCAGCCCCGCGGCCCGGTCACACGCGCCTCGCAGCGGGGGCGAAGCGAGGGGCAAGGCAGGGGGACGGCGCCCTCCCCCCAAAACGGAGGCCCCGCGGCACCACCGGACGGGAGGCGCCGCCGCGCAGGGAGAAGAGGGAGGCGTCGGCAGAGCGGGGCTGGCGGGCGTGAGGCGGGCCCGGGAACGACCCGCCCCGCGGCTACCTGCACAGGTCGTCCAGGACCCTGCTGGGGATCTCGGCCCGTTTAGACTCCATGGGGAAACGCGGCTCATCCCGAGGCGAGGCCTGATCCACGGCACGGCGCTCCGGGCGACATGGGGTACCCTCCCGCCGGCGAGCGTGGCAGGGAGCCAGCAGAGCAGCAACCTCCTCCGCCAATCGCCTTGCGACGGCGGCTCTCTACTCCTCCTTCCTGGCGGAGCGGCGAGCCAATCAGCTGGAGAGTTACTAAAGGAACGGGACCATCAGGTGATCGCGGGGGCAGCCAATGGGCGCCGCGGCCAGCCCGCGGCGTCGCCGCCGCGTGCGCGCGGGAAAAGCCGCCCGCCGCGCCGCCATATTGGCGGCAGGTTACCCCCGCCCCCACCCACCCACCCACCCCCTGCCCCCACCTCACACCCCTCCCGGGTCCCGCAGGGGCGCGCTCGGCGTTTGGCTGCCTCCGTGTCGGGCTTCGCTTCAGCCGCCTCGTCCGCACGTTAAAGCCACTGCGGGCGGGGGGGCCGCGTTTTTGGCTTATGGGGAGAAGCCCGAAGCTGCGTTACCGTCGAGGCTTCAGGCCGGAGACGCGAAGGTTTAGCGCTTGGAGATGCTTAAACCTCGCACTGTGGGGAACCGGGGGCTGGAAATCTTCCCAACTGCAACGAGGGGGCGAGAGGGTGAGAACGTACCAAACACCGGCGCCTCGGGGCTGTTGCTGACGGACGCGCCGTCCGGCCGCGGCCGGCGGAAGGCGCCGCTGCCTGTCCCGCTTCCGGCCGGCAGCGGCCGCTGTCGCCTTACTTTTTTGGTAGGAGTTCTCGCCGTGTCCCCGCCCCTTCCTTGCCGAAGGGCCTGTGCTCCCTCGGAGCTTCCGCGGCAACTTCACGGGAGTTTGCCGCTGCTACGGTCCCATCCCCCTCTGCACTGGAACACGGGGAAGTACGGGACACAGAACCGGTTGAAAAACTGATATATAAAGCAGTGAACAGTTTCCTGCTTAGGCACCAGAACCAGCAAAACCAGCTAAGTATCAGCAGAGGAGAGAGGATAGGAAGAGATGAACGGGAGGATGGTAGGATGATAGCTGCACCAGCTTGGAGCAGCTTAATTTTCTGTAGTGAATTTACACACTATAGCTTGCTGAAAGCAAAGGGGGATGTCACATTTTATGCTTCCCTCTGCCGCTCTACCTCTGGCATTCCACCAGGTCTCGTACTGACCCAATTCAACTCCCCAGTCCAAATTTCAGTCTTTTTTCAAAGGAGATTTGGAGTGTTGTTTGCGCAGAACAAGTCTGATAAAGGAAGAGCGATTCACGCCTAGCCTGTGGCCAGAAGATAAGCGGTCCTTTTGTTAACTGCGAGGACCCAGTACTTGGAACTAGTTTTAGGTGGATGGAAATACCAAAAGGCTTGGGGAACCTGAGCTTTTGAACTTTTCCTCTTAGTACGGTTGCGTGATGAGCTCATGCGTATGAACTTCTCCACCTTGGAGAGAGCCAAGGTCCATTTCCATGAACATGTGATGTATGAACACAGACATGAAGAGGCGTGTCGGTAGGCGGGTTGGGAGATCTGTACCCCCTGTGGTACTCAGCCAGTGAGGAATCAGGGGAGGGAATTTGTGGTCCGGAGACAGGGATATAAACCATCACACCATGGCTGCCAGGCGCGTCCGCCTGGTGGGGTGCCCGGTTTTGCAAGAACGTAATGAGAAGTGCTTCACAATGTATCCCGTCTGAGCTGCTGATCACTGGCAACTGAGCATTTCTCACAGTGGTAAAGAAAAAAATGTAGATAAATACAATGATGATAATACAGTCTAGAGAAATTTCGGCTCTGGCTGTGCTGCAAAATTAGGCACTTTAATACTAATTCAGTGTGTTTACAGGCTCATCTGAATAAATAAGAGATAACAAAGACACCAGTCCGGTGTTACCCTGAGGAGACAAAAAGTATGTAAATTCACAACTCCTTTCTTAACTGTTGGGGACAGAAAGTGAGAAATGTGCCCTTTGCCGCCTTTCCAAAAGTAAAACAAAGAACAAGAGACTCCATGATAGCTCCAGAAGCACAAGGGAAGGGCATTCAATCAGACAGAAAAGGCACAGTATCATAAGACTTTAGAGTACAATCTTGTTACAAGCAGCACATTTACATATATTGATGTCTCTCTTCTGCAAACTCCACACAGTGGTATTTGACAATGATTTTTGCCCCACTACTTCTACTGCTCTGGTAATTGAGATGATGTGTGGCTCACATCTATTTGACTTACAGAAGTACTTTGGCAGAGGAAGAGAAGTCAAACACAATACTATTAATGTGGCTAGACAGAGGGACAGATGGAAAGGTCTGGAATGCAAACTGATAAACCCCATTGCTCAGGGATCCAGAGAGTTCATTTTCTACCAGAAAGGGTAGGCATACGAGATTCTGTAAAAGTTACATGATCTGCATTCCTTTCAGGTATTAGGGTACTCTTCCAGCTAGTATTTTTCCTTGCCCTGCTACCTCTTTTTTTTTCCTTCCAACCACCCCCCTCCTTCCCCATGTGGACATGGTACCACGAGCTCCTAGAACTGATAAGGGGGAAAAAAAAATATTCTAGAAAATGCACTTTGACAGCTTATGTCAACCATGCTACTATTAGTCCATTCGTGTTTTCTGGAAAAAAAAAAAAAAACAAAAAACCAAACTGATACAATGATGAAAAAATGAATGTGTCAACTGTTACCGAAGTTATGAAACACTTTTGGGTAAGCTGCTTAACATAGGAGAAACATATTCACTGAAGAAGAACACAATGAAAGTTTATAGACAGTGTTCCCAAGCACCTAGGACGGGAGAGCAAGAAGAGACACATTTGAACATTTCTGCTTGCTCTATTTTTGAGACATTGCTGAAAGACTCTAGGTTAGCCAGAATAGAAATGTAAGAAAAAATGTGCTCATAAGTGGGATTTGGAACTGTGTATCATTGTGGTTTCTTTCTTCTCACTTAGAACTTTGTTGAACATTTTCCAATTTTTTTTTAAATAGCATACACTTACCCATTAGCTCATGCAAAGCAAGTTTAGTTAAATCTGACACATTCATGTTATAATATTTCCCCAGAGATAAATTTACACGTAGGCCCATCCACTGAACTTGCATGCACAGATGTGTAGAGGGCAAAGTTGACAATGCCTCCTGTCAAGCTGCAAGGGCAGTTAGGACAGTAGGAGGACCAGGTATAGCATGGAGAAGTTTACCTCACAACCACAACACCTCACAGCTTCAAGCAACCTGCAGAATCACCGAGCGATGCAGTCAAACAGGTTTTTAATCTCTGCTTATCAGTCAACCTTGGCAGTCAGTCAGAAAGGCAACAATAAGATATTTGGAAAATAATGTTTGTTGTCTGCGCTGGGGCAACGAGAGAAGGTAGCAGAAAATTAAAAAAGGGTCAGTCGTTTGTGTAGTCGGAAGGGAGTTTCAGAGCTAGATAGCACAGGAAAAGCAACAGTTGAGGGTAGTAAAAGTTTTGCTTGCAGAAGTTGACCAAAGTGGAGGATAAAACTGCATTGAATAGGAGGACACTCTCAGAATCCAAGAAGCAGACAAACCCAGATCTCAATGAACATGTGTCTGCAGTTTATGTTAATCAGAATAAAGACTGAGGCAGAGCCTGGAGAGTCTGCAACAAAGTGATATGGTGTGAGGCTTACCTAGGTCATTGGAAAAAGACATTAATTTCACTCAGCTCTTCAATAAACACCTTCTATACTAAAATCTCCAACAAAAGATACCTAATGGAGGTAGGGGGGGAGGGGACGGAAAACCACTGGCTTAACTTTTGTAAGCAATGTGAGCTCAGCACCCCCAGTTGCTGCAAGCTGGTATTTTGAGTCAAATTTCCATAAAATCTACAAGAAGACAATGCAAGCACTGCTTCCCTGCTCTGCTCTGTTAATGTGTTATATGGGAAATTAGGTGAGAGAGCTCCCACTGACCTATACCTCAGGTGGATATACTATATAACCCATGCTGAGAAACATAAATAAAGTATTTTGAAGCAAGGTTTATATATAGGAGATCACTCACACAAAGTTAATGAAAATGTAGTTTTAAATCCATGTTTGTCTCAGTTCCCTGACTGTGATGGAAAGATAACCACAAAGATCTGAAAACAATCTGGCAGGGTTTGTGATTTTTTCTTTCTATTAAATGAGAGGCACCATAGAAAGGGCCACACATGTAGTGATGCCCGACAAATTATGATAATTAATAAAATGCATTCAGTAGAAGATTTGGATGAAATATGGTAACTAAACCCTGGTGAGGTTCTCTGAACCCTGCAGTGGAGGTTAAGAAAGCTGTGGAAAAAGAAGGGTCAGTGATCACATGGTTACTTTATGTATAGAGAGCTGTGGTATGCCTGCACAGAAAAATCTGCATTAGGCTTTTCCTAACATTACAGTACTTCACTCAAATAATTTTCTGATTTAAGACTTTGCAGGTAATCATTAATTTAATGGCAATAACATGTACATTGTTACACATACAGGACAAGCATGCAGTAAAGCACAGCGCACACTGCAGGGCGTGGCTGCATGGTTTACTTAAGGCAACAGTGAACTCAAACAGGCTTAACCAGCTGATCCAGGTAACACGTTTGCACTTCCTTTGGGTATGATTATCCTCTCAAATTCCAAATTAAGCAGATTGTTGGACAAAGAGTGCACCTGTGCTAAAGCCAGAGACTAACCTTTAACTCTGGATGAATGACAGGAGTAGGCTACAGCTCAGGGTGAAATGACATGCAGTGTGGAAGACAGATAAAGAAATGAGTGAGTGCATCTAGTCCCTATGCCATTCTGATCTTAGACTAAATAGCTCAAAACATCAAAGTGGAGAAGCAAAGATACTAATTTGCATTAATGGAAAAACAAAGGTAAGCAAAAAAATAGGGTACAAAAAGAGAAAATGAAGAATGGAGGACAATAGAAAGGAAATAACCCTGTTACATGCCGTTTTAGTACATTTCAGAACGCAGCCGTCAGTGGGCTGAATATGCAGCCTGCCAGTCCGCATGTGGCCTAAGGGTGCAATTCATCTCCCAGCCCAGGTGTGTCTTTGTAGCCTGTGACTTTAGATGTCAGCCCTGGTATTTCACGATAATCTACAGCTAGAGGCAGAGCAGCCTGAACAAACTGGCTACTACTGCATCTGCTTTGGTTCTGATACCTAGGACACCACTATTTTCAGAACTTGCAATGCGGAAAAGCACTCATCTCTTGGTCTTCCACAGGATAGCCCCACTGCATTTTTCTGCTTTTCCTCATCCCCAGCAGCAGCTCCTGAGGAAGGTCACACGATCCACCTTCAACCTTCCTCCCCAGGCTAGCTCCCTCTGGTTACAGTATTTCTTCCTTTTTCTTAGTTTCAGGCTTTTCAGGGAAGAAGAAGGAGCACTACCCAATACTGTGTGTTCTCCATATTGTGTTGGAAGTGTGTTTTTATTTTCTAGCACAGCATCCTACTTTTTTTTTCTAGTTGCCTTTACAGTTTCTTCTAACAAGCCATTTTTCTCTTGATCCATAACAATTAAAGCATCATAAACAAAACAGTTATGCACATTACTGCTAAAAGAAATGTACTGAGCACACTATAATACACTGAAAACATTTGTCTAGCACAGATCAACTGTGGAAGACATTAATGCCACATTTAAAAACATGTTTTTGAATAAAAGAACAAAAATGCAAACAGTTATGAAAACTCAGCTGGGATTCAGTTGTTTTTAACATTTGTATTAGACTCCCTTTTCTGTAACAGTTTTGTGTCTTATCTGCCCTCCTCCTCAGTCCTGCAGTCTTACAGGTACGATGAAAAAACCCAGAATTTTTAGACAGCTCTTACTAAGTGTGAGGAGAGAGACTATGGGAGAGAAAACAAAAACCAACAGACCAGAGTAAGTTTCCATGGGGCTTCTTGCACTCCTGCAAAATGTGATCTGAGTCTGCAGGTCCCTTTTCAGTTTGCAAATTGCTCATTTAGAACTTAGCAGGGCCTGTAATTTCTCCACATCACAGCACAGCCATAAGCAAAACAAGAGTCACACTGCTTTCTGCATCCTCTGGTGATGCTTACCTTATGTCACTTGTAACCCTTAGGCACATGAGAATAGCAAAGAATTCTTGTAAAAATGGGGTATGGCTACACAGCGATGTCTTTATGCTTGACAAAAAAGGGAATCTCAGTGAAGTTGCTAACATTTTTAATATTGCTGTATTTTAAATTCAGGTATAGAATTTTGTTTTCTTTGAAGCTAAGAATTAAACCTCTCACACATTTTAAGGACCATTTCTCAAGGATATCTGACACTGTTAGTAGTCATTATTAATTTAAAAGCAGCAGCACCCCTTCATGCTATGTAATGCCTGTTCCAGCAGTGTCCCCCCCATTCTCTGTAAAAGCCAAGGCACATCATATGGATACAGCAAACAAAGAAAAGGAAAGGAAGGGGGCTGGACACATGGCATAGGAGGAGGCTCAGGGATCTGATATTGTTGTGCTTGTTCTCAGAGGTGAAGGCTAAGTGGGGACATTGGATTGCTACCTTCACCTACCTGTTTGGAGGCTAAAGAGAACTAGACCCTCCTCAGAGGTACAGAGGACCAGGACAAAGGACAAGATGAAAGATTCACGTGACATCAAGGGAAATTTCAATTTCAAACACAAGGAAAAAAATCTCTGTGATTGCAGTTAAGCACAGCAATGGGCTGTCTAAGGAGTCTGCAGAATTTCTATCCATGAAGATTTTCAGACCCCAGTGGTCCAAACCCTAAACACTATGGTCTAGCTTTGGCATTAGCCCTGCTTTGAGCAGAACACTGAACTACATAACCACCAGAGATCCCATTTAACTGTATTTTATGATTCCATTAAACAAGATGAAACTTTTTATCACCAAGAAAAAAAAAAAAAAAGAACTTGTGGGACAAACCTTTTAGCCAGTCTTATGGGTTAGGTATTATTCTCCCTCTTCTCACCTCTGCCTTTAATAAGACACCTACTTGAAAGAAGAACAGGTATTTCAGCAGTTAAACAAATTTGTTTTAAATTCTTTGCAGGATGCCTTCCCTCAAAGCAATGACAGCTCGAAAGCACAATGTGCTATTTACATTTAAATTTTTCTTAGGTGAAGATAAGACAAAAAAGATCTTTAGAAGACTGATTTGTATTTTCTGGCATGCTTTGGCATGACACAGATTTGAAGAAGGCATAGAGAGTCTATGTTACTAGTTGTAATGCTGAGTCAGATGCAGAGGAGTTGCTGGGAAGGGTCAGCCCAGCCAAGGAAGTTTCCAGGACTACATCATAGCCAATAAATTATATTTAGTTGGCAAGAACATTGTGCACACCATAAATTCTAGGGTACAGTTACAGGCAGTGTTACTTGTGTAAAAACATAAGTTTGAATAAGTGCCTAGGTTATAGTGACACAACTCAAGTTAAAATTAGATATTCTGCATTTAAATCTTCTAAGGAGGCCAGGGAGTGATGGCCTTACTGTGTAAGCCTGATCACTTTTTATAAACAATGCAAGCCTTACAAATAACTATGCCCTTGAAGAGAAACTAAAAAGCTACAAAAGGGAACATCCTGCCCAGAAGGTGCTGACAGTTGATTAATTGCCAAAGAAGCAGAAAGTGTCCACAAATCTATGGCAACTGGGGGAAAAGCTAAAGGCGGAGGGGGGAGACTGTGACCTCCAATTCAGTTTAAGACCGAAAAGACTTGCCTGCCTTCACCCTTTTGAGTTTGCTGTCTGACTCAGCATTACAATTAGTAACATGAACTTCAGATGCCTTCTTCAAATCTGCGTCAAGGCATGGAGGGTATGAAAACTCTTTTTCACGAGAGACTCTGCGAGACTCTAGAAAATCAACAGATTTGGATTCAGAGGATGAAAGTAATTGTAAGATATTTAATACGTTGTTTATGGAGCAGTCAACTTCAGATATTAGACGGAAACTGCAAAAAATGGGGTTGGTGGGATGTCTATCTCACAACTAATAGAAATTGGTTACCAAGTCTATAATATTAGAGAGGGAATAGAGGAAAAGAAACAGCAGAGTAGGATGAAGCTGCAAGCTTCTCTGCTGGCAGCTTCAGTAACCGAAAGTAAGGGAAGAGGTCGTGGAGAGATGACAATGCGGAGGAGAAAAGTAGAGAAAATGTGGGAAGAGGGACATCCAGATCATCTTTGGGGTCTAACCAATGTGTATATTGTAAAAAAGAAGAACATGGGAAAAACTATTGTCCTAGTCTCAACAATAAAAGGGGGAAACAAGAAAATGAGAATGAGGAAGGAGACGCGATAATGTCAGAAAATCTGGATTGAAGGGTACTATTATTATATAATAAATAATAAACTGCTTCTAGTTAGGTTGGGGAATGAAACTACAGATTTTCTTTTTAATAGAGAGTGGGGCAATGCACTTCGCTGTAACTACTTGCAAAGGACAATTAAGTAAAACTGAGATCCCTGTTATTGGTGGCACGGGAAAGAAAATACTGAGGCCATTTTTGAAGCCACCAGTATGTATAATTGGAAATACTAAATTAACTCATGTTTGAATAAGTGCCTAGGTTATAGTGATACTATTCAAGTTAGAATTAGATATACTGCATTTAAATCTAAGCAGGCCAGGGAGTGATGGCCTTACTATGTAAACTGGATTGCTTTGTATGAACAAAGCAGGCTTTACAGCTGTGGCCGTGAGGAGGACCCAGATGACTGATAAAAAGGGAACATCCTGCTGAGAAGGTTCTGAAAGTTGAATAATTGCCAGAGAATCAGGAAGTCTGCTGAAGTCTGTGGTAACTGGGAGGAAGGTAAAGGCGGCGGGGGGCAGACCGTGACCATCGACTCAATTTAAGACCAAAAAGACTTGCCCCCCACCCACCCACCCTTTGAGTTCCTGGAGAATAATAAAAAGACAGTAACCTTAAATCGAGACGAGGCATGTCAAAGCATTAAGCAACTACCCAGTGCTCATGACAGTACATACACCCCCGTGTCCGGCGCTCCCCGGGGAGGGGGCTCGCCCAAGCCTGGCGGCGCACCCCGACCTCCATTTCGCGGCGCGGGCACGGCTCCAAAGGCCGGCAGAAGATGGCTTCCTGCTGCTTGCCGCCGCTCCCTCACCCCCGCTTCGCCGCTTCCCGGCGGCCGGGCGCGGCGGCGGCGGCGGCGGCGGCGGCGGCGGCAGCAGCAGCAGCATCAGGGCCGGGCGCGGTGCCACCTCCCGCCGCGGCTGTGGGTGGGTGAGCGGGCGGCACCAGAGGCGGAGCTAGCCGCTCGGCCGCCGCGCGCCCGGCGTTGGGGAGGCTGAGGATCGGGCGCCTGCGGCGGCCTCGCCATGACCGCGGCAATGAGGCAGAGATTTGACCGGTTTCTGCACGAGAAGAACTGCATGACCGCCGTGCTCGAGCGAATCGAGAGCAAGACCGGCGTCAACCGCACCTACATCGCCACCGGTGAGCTCCAGCTGCTGCCACGCCGGGTCCCCTCGGGGCCGGCGGGCGCCTCGCACGGGGGCTGGAGAGCGGAGGCGGAACGGCTTGCAGCGGCGGCCGCGCCCTTCCCGCTCCTCCTCGTCCTCCCCCGGCGGTGGCGGGCCGCCCCGGGGAGCGCGGGGCGGGGGGGCGGGCGGGGACACGCCCCCCCCTTCGCCGCGGGGTGCGAGGCCGCCGGCGCTAACTGCTCTCTGCTCTCTCCCCGCGCAGCCGTCGTCGGGGTGGTGGCCGTGTACCTGGTGGTGGGCTACGGCGCGTCGCTGCTCTGCAACACCATCGGCTTCGGCTACCCCGCCTACGTGTCGTGAGTGTCAGCACTTTTGCCCCTCTTAACCCACGGCGGCTGCGTGTGTTACCCGTGGGGGGAGAGAGCACGGCTGCGGAATCACAGCCCAGCGCTGGGGCACAGCCTGTCACCGTAGCAGTCCCGGACCGCGCTCCGAAATACTGTTTTTCCCGCCCACACCGTTCCCTCAGCACGTATAGGCGCAAGGTGCTAAGTAAAGAGTGAGGTTTCTTCCATTTGGCAGGTGCTACGTAACAAATTGCAGATGGGAGATGCTGGGTAGTTTCCACACTTGAAAACCGGTTCCTGTAGGGCGTTGCGTTTCGGCGTTTAGTTCCCAGCTTTGTCATCTTCAGGGAGAGGCTGGGTCACTGTGACTTACCTGCTGTTAGTAGCAGGAGGGAGAATCACAGTTATAACGGTATTTCCTAAAACCGACACTTATTTTCAGTCGAGGAGACTCCAGGTAATGCAGGAAGGCACTGATGGCAGTGTTGGTGTATGTCTGGTATGAAGCATTAGGTGGTGTAACGGGCTAGAGACAGAGACGCATTAATAAGTGCTGTTTACTCCAAAACCACCTAGCTGATGACGAGGTAGAAAGGAAGACACTGTGTCTCCTCTTGGGTGTAAGAGACTTAAAAATGCTTCATTTTCCAAATGAAAACTTCCTTAGATGTTTTTTATTTAGGAATATCTGGTGTCTTTCGTGGCCATTAGATTGTTATTAGACCAAAATGGATTTCCTTTTAGGTAAGATGCTGGTGGAGTATGTTCAAAAAGATTTCAAATTGTACTAAAACCACCTGTGTAGCCTGATATGTTCAGAAAATATCAGTCCTTCCCAGCTATACTGCTGTATCATTGAAACACCGTGCTTGTCTTTTACATAACTATTTAAATGCAGTCAGTAACTTTAAAAACTATGTTTTCTGTAATTAGCTCCTCAACAATACAAAATAGGTTCCTTCCCTTCTGTTTTTATTAGACACATGGGAGATTGACTTACTTTCAGACTGTCTTGAAATGTCTTATGGTTTTGATGCTTAACACTAAGCAATGCTTTTCTAAATGCTGTTTCCATTGAGGACTAATTTGGGAGATACAGGCCAAGAGCTCTGGAGAAACTTAGGTTTTATTTTCTGTAAGGCAATTTTTAATGAAAAGATTAGCTAAAAGATATGTTTTCATGAAAATCCCAAAGCGCAAATAAAGTCAACCAAAGGTTGAAACCTTAAAATAGTTGTGTAGAAATTATGTTTATGTAATATTTTGTGTCTGACTTAGGTCACTCTTAAATTTACATAATTACTTTCTAAAATACAATTTAAATTTTAAAATTTGTTTTAAAACTGGTTTGGGATTGTATTTTAAATCTGCTGCTATACAACTATGGTTAATAAATTTATAATAAAAGCTCTTAGAACTGTGGAGGCAAGACAGCTGCAAATCAAATATGAATAGTGCATTTTTTTTCCCTCCAAATCTGGAAAATTAGTTTTTAAAAATCTTTTTATATGGCGTCTACCCCTTTTTTGTGTTGGAAGGTAGTTTTAAATGTATCGTAATGTGAAAAATTACCTCCCAGATGTTAGTACCGTGGGGTGTTTTTTGTTATTTTTTTCTAGTAATAGGTGCATATGCCATTGTCCTTGGCTACAGATTTTACTTAAAAAAACATGATGAATAACATGTATATGGATACAATGCTAATTCTGTTTTTTTTCCAATTCATTCTCAGGTAATGATTTCCCTTTCGCTATTTTTTTAATGCTGAAATGTTTTTAGGAGAAAATTATAATCTTGGGTGAAAATCCAATTTAAAACGCATGTGATGTGTTGCATGCCAGTGTCTCAGTGGCAGCCTGCAGACAGGTTCCAGCTCAGGAAGCAGCCTGCTGACAGCACAAGTGGGCTCAATCCCCTCCCCTTCCCAGGGACAGAGCTGGTATGTGGAGTTTTCCCACACGTGTTGCTCTGCCTGCAGAGCCAGCAGCGTGGGTGCAGAGAAGCCATGGGAGGACAGTGCACTAGTGCACGTTTTCATGGTCCTGATCAGTTTCCTCTTTTCTGGGAGTGAGGGATGTGAACTCAGATGGTATTGCCCTTGCCAGCCTGTACAGTGTTATGGGATCAGTCTTGACAGCTACACACTGGGACATGGGCTGACTGACCGTGAGAAAGAGTAAGAATCCTCTTTGGTGATGACCCTTCTTTCACCATACGGGGTTCTTTTTTGTCTTGGTGATACCATGCTGCTCTCTGTATCTACAGTATGATCTCTATCCTAATGCAGGGCTAAGCTCCAAGGAGATAAAGCTGAATCACTGGAGTGATTCCTGCTTTCATTTTTGGTGCTCTGGATCCTGTACTGTAGTCAGGTTGCTGCCAAGTGCTGTCCCCCATTCTCATAAAGCATAATGATGCAAAGCATGAAGAACACTAGCTGGGGTGATTTATTTATTCCTCTCTTCTGTTTGGTCTGTTCCCCATGAGAAGACAGCTGAAGAGTCTGCTATGCGAACTAACAGTAGTGAGATTTGCTTCCTGGCATTGGGCAGAAAACAGTTTCCAGCTATCTTCATCAGCTGCAAACTCCCTCAAATGGCTTTTGCTGTAAAGGCTATGGCTTCTGGAAGAGGTCAAGAAACATAAACAGAATGTATTGTACAGGGTGTTATTTTTGATGTTTACACAGGTGCTTTAACAATGGATCCGAACGTGAAACGTCTCAGGTGCTGAAAGAGAAAAAGCAGGTTACTCTTCCCCAGTTAACTTACTTTCTTCCCTCGTGAAGTACATAAGTGTATCACTTCTACCATTGTCAGTGACTGAATTGTTTAAAGTGAAAAACAACCAAGTACTGGGTCAGGTTTCTGTTCGGCAGAAAAAACATTCATGAAGGAGTGGGATAGATGTCTGACGTCTGTGTTCTGCAAGGGAGACCGCCTCCTGTCCTTACAGTTGTTTAAAACAGCAAATAGGCTACGGGGTGCATGACCCATTAGGCAAGTTCCTAGGGATTTTGTTCTGGGTTACCTTTGTCACAGTAGTTACTGTTCATCTCTGTGCTTGCCTGAAAGAAAATATATTGGGGAAACAAACAAACCCAGAGAAGAATGCTCAGCTCAGATTTCAATCTGTTCACCCATGAAACCAGGACAGTTTTACGGATCTGCAGGTATCTGCCTGCCAGTCCCTGTATAATTCTGTAGTTTATTTTCTTTCGTTTACATCATTCTCCGTATCGGTTACCAGCGCGTGCCGTGCAGCAGGTGTGGATTTCGGTGGAGAAGTGCTGGGGGCTGTGGCTGCGGGGTGATGCCTGGCAGATGGGGTGCGCCTGGCCGTCGGTGGGAAGCAGCGTGGCTGCCTGCGCTCACGTCCCCGCGGAGCTGGCCGGGCTGCAGCTGGGGGGCAGCTCCCTGGTCAACTGGTCAACGCCTGCTGCAGTTTCAGCCAGGCACAGCTGGTTCCCTTCTCCCTCCTCCCCTGTTCACGTTCAGCTTTCGCTTTCTGTAAGTCCTCAGTGGTTTTGTACGCAGAGGAGTTTCTTCTGTAGCAATACAAAATCTTCCCCAAAATCCAAATCTTCTATGCCATGTCTCCAGCAACGACCCACCCGAGGCTCTTGGCGTTGCCAAAATTAAGCAGCAGTTTTCCAACTAAACGTTATCTGGCTGTTTCACAGAAAATCAGACAATATGGAGTAAAGTTTGTCTTATTCCCTAAAATTCCCATAGTCTTATTCCTTACAATTCTGTTAAGTGCTGTGTGATGAAACAGAATAATTAAAAGTTGAAATCAGATATTTGTTTGCAGGCTTTTGTGTTTGCAGTAGACCGGCACTGAAAAGTTTACCACAGATGATAGAAGCAACTTTTTATACTGCTAGCAAGCTTTAACTACACAAGGCAGTATTCATACTAGTTAACGGAAGAAGTGAATGTTGGCAGTATATAAATAACATTGCCAATATTTTTTCTGCTTCTCTAAACTTTCCAGAGCTAGACTGTTTAAATGTAACTCCACCCATAGCCAGTGGAGGTTAACTGCCTTAAAAAAATTAGAGTGCAAGCAGGAAATGGGCCTTTGATGACTAAGAAATGCGTGCAAAGGATTGGAAATTTCAGAAATGCAGTCATGTTTGGTTTAAAAATTACAAAGATGAAAATAGCTTTGGGCAGTAAAATGTCTGAACTTACTACTGGTGTCTTCAAGGGAGAAAAGCTGTACAGTTCAATCATATATCTGTCTGTTTTGTTTAATTTTATGCTGTTACTTCAGCTTAGCTGCTTTTACTATGCAAGTGCTGCTCGTGGCATTTTACAAACAAGAAACAATCTGATTGTAGAAAAGCATAAATGTACAATGCAAGTCTTAATTTTTAATACTGTCATGGTGTCTTGAGTGTGTCTTCTAGTTCCTTTGCCTCTTCCATAACACAGTTGTTCAGAAAACATAAAATTGGTCTAGTGTTATTTGAGAGCTAGGACAGCAAATTTCCTTTGTCTTAACAAGTTTTGAGGAGAACGCTTACTTTTTTTCCTTCATGGAAAATGCTGATGTTCACAAGTAAAGCTCTGCTGCTGCTTTCTGCAAGTGATTTGAGATGTGTTGTATCTTACCAAATTGACAACGCTTGGTGTAAATATAAGGAGAAAGTTTTCAAATCAGCACTTACGCTCTTTCCTCTCCCAGCTGATACTCTTTTCATGAGGCTTCAGATGCTAAAAAGTGTATTTTGACTTTTTTGTATATGTTCTGCCAAATCAGTTCCTCACAACATACTTGGGTTTTGTCTTTTATGTTTGAGTGCCATGCTTAAAATAATAGCCATCTTATCTATTGGTTGGACAAATTATATGCTTTTCTTTCTAGAGATAGCAAGTTGTTAGATGCAAGAGAGTCTAATATTATGACAACTGTAGGAAAATTTGAATTTATCTTCCATATCTTAAATTCCGGTTAAAATGAGAAGAGGTCTTTGTTGTACAGATGGCTCCACAATCTGAATTAAACTAATTGAAAGATTTCCAGTTTGTAATTGATGTAGATGCTATTTTTAGGGACTGCGGATACGTTTGAGGCATAAAGGCATTTTACCAGACCTTCTTGGCCAAGGTGCACTGCAGTACTGCACCTTGCATGCACTCCTCTCTCTTACTGTATTGACCACTAGCAACTTGGTTGATGTAGGCCTACAGATGTTAAAGGAATAGTTAGAGTTTTATCAGTGGGGTTTGCTGGAATATATTTTTTAACTATTCTCCCTCCTGGTGAGTCATAAGGCTTCTAACATTTAATGTGTAGCATTGCCAATCCTAAATGCTGAAAAAGTGAACTGGAATCAAAAAGTGAGATTTTTTTTTTTTTTTAAAAGCGGATTGCTAGGTGATCTTCCTGTTTTCATGTTTGTTTTGTTGTGGTGATGTCCTCTAGTTGCATTTTAAAAGTCTTTCTTCTCAGCTTTGAGACTATCTGACCCAGGAGAGCTGGCAACATCTTGCTCTATCCCGAAAGGAAGGGAGCCTACTTGTCACTATACATGCCGTGACCAAGATACACAGTTTTTAGATGAGGTTAATGAGGCTGTCTTTGGCTGTTAGGAGAAGAAATGCAGACTTTCATGTGAAGGTCTGTGAGCACTAGCTAAAACTTAATTTTTTTAAAAAAGAAAAATGACAGAATTTTGTTGCTGCACAGCTTAGCAACTACCGCTGTACTCATAAAGGAAATTCTTCAGGTCTCTCTAAACGAGCCTCAACCTAGAACTTAGTCCTCAGCCTAAAACTTAAATGCCTTTCCCACTCCCTAATGTATCAGCTTTTTAATTACACTTGGTAATTAAAACTAGGATTTTTGGTTTTAGTTGCCTTGAAACAGCAGCATTTTACTGAGACAAGTCTGAAAACGTTTCACCATGGTTCATGCTTTACTGTACATTTGTATAAATTAAGTCCTTATGATAATTCTTTTGCCAGTATTACAGTAAACAAGTGAAAGATAGTAGTAGAGCTGTAACAAAATTACACTTGAAATATAGTCTCCACAATGTGGCATAGATTGGAAATGTAACTTTTATTCTTTCTGTATTGTTGTAAGCATGTAGCAGGGGCCCAGTTCTTCTCCATTTGGTCATGACAGTACTGTTTGATCTCTGTGCCTGCAGCCTAAACAGTAACAGCTGTGGAGAGGCAACCAAAGCCTGCGAAATGTTTTTTTCCCCTATAACAAAATTGTCTGTCATGAGAAGTGTTGTGTTGTGGATCTGCAGCAAGTGGCTTCATCTGGTGGGATGCAGCATATCTGCACTACGCAGGTAAAATGTGGCTTTTTTGGAAGCTTCATCACTGAAAGCCACTTCTTTTTCTTGTCAGTATCTTCAGGAAGGACAACCTGAAACAATTCTGTAATATAAACTGGGATTAGACATCGCCAAAACAGGGCTTTTAGACTAGCAGGCGATGTAGGAGTACTGGTTTATCTGCTAGTGTTGACAAGTACAGCAAATGGTTAAGCTGGTGAAGCTTAACCTGAGACTGCATACACTAGTGAGCCCCACTGAAGGCCACAGTGACTTCCTTGCCCGTGTGAAGGGTGGAAGTGGAGGAAGTCCCCCTTCCAGAGAGAGTGCGTGGATGTCTTCTTCTCCAGGAGTGAAGAGCTGAAGCCACTGCTCCACAGCACGTGCATTGCCTGGCCTGTGTGGCAGAACACACGGTAACCAAATGGCTTGGCAGGCTGGACTGAGGCACTGACACATGTTAATTCCAGCAAAAAAAGCCTGCGTGTGTGTGTGTTTGGGGGAAGCTGGTTTTAACCTGAGGCTGAAATGGGGAACTGACTCATCATGCAGCCCTACAGATACTTGTTCTGAAAGACAGCGGGCCAAGAATGAGCAGCTGCTTTTTTTTTTTTTTTTTTTTGAGGAATCTAGTGTAGTGCTGAGTTAACATGTAGTCTGTAGGACTCACTTCACTGATGGGCAAAATGGCGTGTGCTCCTTTTGTTGCCTCGGTCTTAATTTCTTAATTTCCTTTGAAGAAACAATGCTTTATACTACTGTCATGTTGTTTGTTGTTGTCTTCTAAGTGAGCCCCCCTTTCTATCCTTCATGAATTTGTCTGTTGCCATCTTCTGGGTACACAAAATTTGGAGAGGGGACATGGTAGACTTACACTGCAGCAGTTGTGTAATTGTCCTCGGCAGGAAGATGCTTTCAGTATCTGCAAATGCACGACTCTGCTACTGGAGTCGGTAAGGAGGAAGGAAGATGTAAGACAGAAGGCTTTTAACTGATCGGTGAAAATGTAGAGGAGAAGATGATAAAGCAAATAGAAATATGCAGGTACGTGTTTCACTGAGATGATGTCATGGAGGCAGCCTGCCAAGATGAGTCTGAAATGAGCATGACAGGGAGGCACCAAACTGAGGAAGTCTGTGGTGCAATGGAGTGTTGATCCCACCGGGGTGCCGGGATAGATAGGTAGGAGTAAATTATTTTTGAATTGCCACAACCTGCTGTAACGAGTTGGGACAGACCAATAAGTAGAAGCTGTAGAAATACAGGTAATTTTAGGGTTTCTTTTTCAGTTAAAATGGGGGAAAAAGGAGTTATGCTTGGCTAAGAGGGTCACAAATATGCCTGCCTACTCCTTTAGTATAACACTGATTAGAAAAATGAAGAAAGGATGCACGAAATGGTCCAGTCTTCCCTAAATACAACATGAACACAGTGCTTAGCAGAGACTGATCTTTTGTTTTAAACTTGTAAGTATTTATACAAGAGTCATCAGGTACATTTTGTAAATCGCAGGGATTTGAACGATCACTTTACATGAGATGAGAACAGTAGAATTTGGCATTTCTTTATTTGTGGCTTCCACATACAGACTCGGGAAAAAAAAAAACCAAAACACTAAAAAACCCCAACACCCCAAACTCATAGCTGATGTACTTATATTATGCTTATTCTGTGAGGACTGTATATGTGAATTAACTTTAACAATGATTTGTTACGCTAGAGCTAATTCAGGAGTGTATAACAGTCTCTTATTGGAAAAGAGCTGATTTTTCATTGAAATGAGTCAGATGCTTGAAGTGAAAGAACTCAGCTTGGCAACTTACTAAAATTAGGCCAGTGTCTGTTACTATCAGGTAACAGGATAAAGTAACCACACTTGATCTAGAGTTCAGTTTGATTGATTCTAGGATGCACACACTCAAAATTGAGCTGGTACTCATCTGATACTATAGGTACATAGCTGATACGAGCCCTGGGCTACTGGAGACCATGGCAGCCTCTGCTCTTCCCCATTGTCATCACCAGCTAGCAGGGTTATTGGGGAATAGGTCTGGCTAAAAATTAAGTTTTTACTTGGATCCCCTTCTGTCTGCATATGTTGCAATGCTGGCCCACAGCAGGCTGTCTGCACTGCTGGACAGGCATCTGTGTTGAAAATTACTGAGCAGTGATGTTTACCATCCAGTCTGCTGGAAGCTGTTCCTGGTGACTGCTCTTGCCTCCAATGTGCAGAACTACTCCAAATGGTTATTTGAGGCGTTATTTAAAGTCCTCTACGGTTAGTGTGTAAGCACCATATAAAATCCTTTGTGATGTGTAATTACTGCACGTAACTAACGTGGACTTTAGTCAAATCAGTATTAGAAAAAACTTAGGAAAAACTTGACAGTGTCTCTTTTGTTTTTAAAATTGAAACTATAGACTTTGGATGCTCCTTCCTTTGTTAGGAAATCTTAATGTTGCATGCTAATGAGACTGACTTATCTGCTTTTGCAACATAAATAACCGTTACAAGAAGGCTATCCTAAAGTTGTTTGTACTGCCAGTGCCTCTTGATCTGTATCTTTTTCACTTATTGATGGAGATTGCATTTTGAATATCAGACTGATTGATTCATGACTGAACATGGTGAAGAATAAAATGTTCTTGGCTTGAAGTAACAAGTATGATGTATCTCCTAAGGTTAATTGTGCAGATCATTATACCGGAATAATACCTAATAATTTATAGAATAACTTAAAAGAGTAAGTCTAATTAGGCATGTTGAAAAGGGTATAGTTATAAATAGGTAAAAAACCTGTCCATTCAGATGCTCTGCATAACTTACTGTACTTACTTGTTCTTGGATAAGGAATATTTTAATTACTATTGAAAGAGTGTGAAAGTAGCAAAGGATGGAGACAACTTTTGCCCTGTTAGTTAAGAGGGACACGTTAGACTGGATTTCCACTGGCAGCCTCAGCTGAGGGACATATTTTCCATTCAGAAGCAGAATATCTGTAAAATACTTGACTTTCCTCACCTTCAGTTAAAACTTTCATTCACAGATGGCCCCGCTATACCCTGCTTTTTCCTTCCTTCCCTCCCACTAAATGGGATTGGGACTGGAGTCTTTACTCATAGATGCAGTTTGTGCCCTTCCTTCAGAGCTGACGTGGCTGTTACCTAGTGGGTGTGGTATGTGTCTGCCATCTGAGCTTGTCCCACGGTGCCTACCTAGATCAGAGTATTACAGGAGGAGGGGAAATTTGCTGTTTCCTACAGTGTGCAAGAAAGCACGTGTGGGTTTAATACTGCGCATCAGCTGGTTAAATCAGATGGGTTTTTGACTACTTGTAGTAGTGCTGCTTGTGACTGTCTGACCATGAAAGTGTCTTGTTCATGTATTCCCTTCAAGACATCACCGTAAGGAACTACAGCAGCAGATGGTGAATTTTCAGGGAGCACACCCATGGCACTGCATTTAGCAACTCTCAAAGGCCATCCATTTTTACAGGAGAGAAGATAACAGAGTGTGCCTCATTAACATAGTGATATGCCATCTGCCCTTTGCCATAAAATTGAAGATTCTGAGGTTTTTGTATGAAAACTAATTTTCACGATTACTAAGATTACTTTGATAATCTTAAAAAAAAAAAAAAAAAAAAAAAAGCTTCCTTAAATCCATGGATTGCTTCATACAATGACCAGAAAACAGCAAGACTGTTAACGGTTTCTCTGCCAAATATTCTTGGACAAATACCAAGCTAACATGCTTGTGGTAAAACAAGCCTTCCCCTGTATGCCTGTAATGGAGAAGTCATCAGAACCAGAGAAATTTACGCAAGGAACCCTACATCAAGTTTTCCTTAACACTGAGAAACTGCAGTTAGTTCCTTTCTGTCCTCTGTTTATCCACCACTCTAACTTCCCTACTAGTCACTTGTACTGTTTCTTTCCCTCTAAAAGTACAGTTTCACACCTTGAAAATAGATCAGTAGCCCTCTCCCTTACCTCCCGTGTTGTTTGGGGATATTTTTTTTGTATGGCCCCCTCACCCAGTAGTATTAAAATACCGGAGAGGTGGGGCCATAGAAGAAGTGTGGTTTATAGTGGGAGGGCAGGAGCAGCAGAAGTTGGCACTGCCTTTGAGCAGACTATCTGGAATAGCATTTCCTAACACGGTGTTGTTAGGAACAGCAGTAAGCAAACCTGCAGCTACCTGCCTGTGGAAAACCTGTTCTTCCAGTTGTGCTGGTGCAGTAGCCCATTAGCAGCCCCTTATTGTGCATATGGAGTATGGCGGGGGCTGTTGCTCTTCCCTTTGCAGGGCCCGGCTGGCCAGCCACATGCTCTAATGGAAATAATGCATAAATTAAGTATCAGATCCTCATATTGCATTTCAGAGTAATTCAATGCGGTAGCTACGCCTGTCCTCTCTATGTGCAGTGGGTTTGCCAGTGCTTTTGCGAAAACATAAGTCATGTCACATGCTTGATGATTTATTTTTTTGTCAATTTGCAGAACTAGGAAGTGACAGAGTCCAAAGGGTTTCTCAATTCACAAACCAGGAAATGTACTCACAGCCAACCATCTATCTGGTTTCTATTTTGTAAACCTGCCTAACAATCTTTTTACAGACTAAAAGAAAACTTTGTACCTTTGATATATCCCACAGATGGTGCTTCAGCAACAGTATAGCAAATATTAAAGGAATAAGTTATAAAACAATTAAAACTAAGTTTATTAAACTGAGTCTACAGATTTTAATCCTACGGCGTGAGTGGAGAGGACAAATGCTTTTTAATACTCTTAAGCTTCACATTATCAGGCTTACAGTTGCTAGCATTTCCTCATAAAACTTCTTACAGCCCTAATCTGGAATCTAGCAAGTCCAGAGTCTGCAATTCACTGCTTTTACTGAAGAAAGCACGTGTGTCTTTCTTTCAACTCCCTTTTTTTTTAGAGCTGTATGAACTTCGAACTGCATTCTCCTAGCAGTTGGAGAACAAAAATCAAGTTAGCCATTATGCAGGAAGCTCAAGACTTTACTAGAGGTTGTTGCATCCTGTTGTTAATACGTAGTATACAGGAGAATTTGCAAGTCCTGTAGCAGTGGATCTACAGAACAAAGCAATTGGCAATGCAGATACACAGGCCTCACTGCATGGGGCAGGGGGTACTGGATCTCCTCTGCTTCTGTAGACTGAGTGCTTGTTCGTAGGCAGAGCAAATCTTACGCTATACCTTTTCAAAGAGGAATGTAGCGCATGTATGTTATGATTAAAGATATCTGAGATTCACTTTAAAATCCTGAACTAGATTTAAAATTTTTATCTAGGTGCTGTTTGCACCAGGAGGTGCTGGTCTGTTGTGATCCCAGTAAGAATGGCATTCAGATTCTGTAAAGCAGCATTTTAAATGAAATTTATTAGACCTAACACTATAAATAGAGAATAGTACAGACAATCTTATATCCCTGTAGATGCTGGCAGAACCCCAAATTGCGCAGCACCTGATGGGCCTCGAATCACACACAGCACACTGTGCAGACCTCATCTGTAGACAAGGTTACCCCATTTTGATAATTTAATTTATTGTAGGATTTGTCTTTCAAGACAACTCTATTCATCGTTCCTGCTGTCAGAGAGGGAGGATGTCCACTGCTGGATGCAGGCAAGGTGGTGTAATCACTGGTACCCTGTGGAATTCTCTGTTTCAGTGAGCTTGCTGAGTTTATCCTGTGACCAGGGAATTTGTGCAGCACAGTACAGGGCTGAAAGCCAGGCTGTAAGTGCGTCACAAGCCTGGGCTCACTCAGGTTAACTGTTAACTGTGTCCCATATGTCACTAATGCTTCAATGTATAGTAGTCTTCTGGTCAGGATTACCACAATGCATCCAGAACTGGAACTGGCCAGAAATTATTCCCTTTCTTCCCTGTCCCATGAACTGCCTGATGAACAAGGTAAGGATGCCCCTATTTTGGGGTTTTGTTTTTTTTTTTTTTTTTTGTAGTCACAGAGCTAGAAATAGATTGAATATCTTTTCTTTTTGACATTTGACATGCAGGGAAAACCTTTGCTGTTAAAAGATCTTGGGCCCGTTGTCTGTATGGTAGATAACTACTTAGTTCTCTTCTGTAGCGCTTGTAGAGAAATTATGAGGATTCACATGTAACAACAAACCTGAATCATTAAAACTTCGCCATTATACATGAGATTGAGGCTACTGATCTGATCACCTGTTGTGTTTTCCTTGCAGAATCAAGGCCATTGAAAGTCCCAACAAAGATGATGACACACAGTGGCTGACTTACTGGGTTGTGTATGGCGTTTTCAGCATAGCAGAATTCTTCTCTGATATCTTTCTGTCCTGGTTCCCTTTCTACTACATGCTAAAGGTATGTTAGTCCATGTGACCCCTCTGCTAAAATGAGACCTTTAATATAACTGATTTAACGTCTTCGGGAATGGATGGATGACAACATATTCGCCTAGAATCATTCCTGGGTCACACCTTCTTTTGAGATGCTGGTTAAGTGTAATTTAGCAGTGTGGAGGTGATCTGTTTACTGCTGATGGCTTTGTGAAGCAAGAGGGGAAGTTGGGATGGGCGGCAGGGAAAGGTCTGCCGTGTTTTAGGAAAAAAGAGATGGTGTAGCTGTATTGTGAAAAGACAGTTCTTTGTCTTGGTGTCCAGGTAAATTTGGGCAAAATGACAGCACATGGTAAACCGTAATGAGTGGCTCTATTTCGGCTTTAAGTGCATTAGTGGAAGTGGAGACTAAAATCACAAAAGCAGCAAAAGCACGTATTCGCATCTGTGCTATTGGGAGCAAAGAAAGAAATTGCAACATAAGAATAGTCTGAATCACACAGACTTAATTTTTAACTAAGGCCTACTTTCTTGAAAGGGAATGCAGGTATCGGAGGAGCTTGTTGCTAATGTACATTTGTTAGAGCGGTTTCACTACCAACGATTTCCTTAATGTGTTTGAAGCTTTGTTTGTCAGCTAAGGTGTGAGTGTATCGTCAATCAACTTTAACATGTTAAATTGTTCTAGGAAATAACCAAATACCATGTGTGCTGTTGGGTAGAAGACATTCTAGCTTGCTGGAGAGTCACTTGTTAAGCTTAAAGAACTGTTACCTATATTCTGTTTCAATGGGCTGTTGTATTACTTCTCTTTTGCTTTGTTAGCCTGGTTTAGCTCCACCAAAGTTCTTGAAAGTATTTGCTTGCCAGCTGTTGTGGTGGGGTCAGTTGAAATTTCAAGAGTAGGGTCTGATTTTGCCAAATGCTTTTTTCAGGAAGTGCCATATTTTAACGACAAAAATTGACTTGAACAGCTTTGTTACACTTCCGCATTGTTCTTTTTGAATCTTTAACAGGCCCCAGCTGTGCAATCATTTGGATGCTTATTTCCCTACTTCCCTAAGAAAAGCACATATTTAAGCTACTGCTTCAAACTAAAAATATCCTGGCCTGTTCCACAAAATGAATTCTCTTCCCCCCACCCCTTTATTATTTTCACTTAATCAAAAATGAAAATATGTTTTCCATTTTTAAGCTTAATGGGTTTGCAGAGTTTTTAAGAAGAATCTGATAATTTTGAAGTTCAGCATGGGTAACATTTGCGAAATTTTTACTGTTTAAATTTATTAAGACCAAGCCAAATAGTGATCTAAGTGCAAGCTCATCGGATCTGAACAGGATCCAAAAGGATTACTTATGGCACTGGGAGAATCTGTTTTTAACTATTTATGCAGTTATTTCACATCCCCAACTTCAGTTTAGCAGGATTATGACTTTACCCATTGTCTGCAGTGACGGATACTCACAGTTCTGAATTCATACAGTGTATCTGCAGAGCTTCTTTTCTAAATTCTTAGTGGTAAAATATGTTGCAATGATTCCTTCATGCCAATACAGCACTCTCTTTCCAAAAAACATGCAACTGAAGTTCAGGTTGACCTAGCAAATAGAGACCAACCACAGATGGCTCTGATAATACTGTATCAGAAGTGCCACATTTGCATGTAGTGGTGGCATCAACAGAAAGGTACTTTTCTCAGTTCAGTAAAAGCAAACACAAGGAAGCAATTATGGTAAATGCACAGTTATCTACAATAGCTGCTAGAAGGCACATAGAAGTCAAGTATTTACTCTCAGTAGTGCATAGTAGGAGAGGTTTACTTTTGTAATACAAAATCACACAGAAGGTGTTGGCTGAGAATCAGCATTGCTGACTGGGTAGAAGAATGGAAGTTACCCTGTGTGGAGAAGAGGAAACAGGCAGTTTCCAACTTTCAGTCCATCCATGACTAAAACCTGTTGTAGTGTCGCTTGTGATGTGTCCATGTCTCTTTCATGATGTTATGAAATAGAAGCCCAGATACATCATTCATGCAAATTCCAAGCTCATGTTCATTTTCCAAATATACTAAATTTGAATATTCACATTTATTTGATTCAGCTTGTAACTTCTGCTCCAGACTGAATTTTTGGTGCTCAATATTTCTATTTACCTTGACGTGCAGGGCTGAAACACTGATCATGTATCATATTCCCCTAAGTCCAGAGCCTGCACTCTGTCACCTCAAATCTTGCAGCACACTAGTTTTTATAGATGGGAGGAAAACATGTTGAAGAACTTCTTTGAATATTTTATTGTATTTGCTTATAATTTTGTTCTCCAATTGAAAACTGTTTTGAGATTTCTTGGGTTTTGTGTTTTTTGTGTAATGCCTACTGTTTATTTATCTGCTTTTTTTTTCTCTGAAGCACAGGACATGCATGCAACTCATAATTTCATGTGTGTGTGATCAGTTTTTCAATATTTCTGCTAATTATTTAAAGATTTATTTGCCATTCAGGTATTAAAATACTGTAGCCAGTGAAAGTAACAGGATTTATCATCCTAGCAGTATCCTTGCTAGTGGGAAGGAGAGGAGACTCCTCATTCTACTAACAGTTAGGTCTTGAAATGTTAGAAAACTATTTCTGAACAGAATTCCCAGCAGACACGCCAGGATGGCTGCATTATGCAGACGCTGCTATGAGGCACTCAGTCAAATGAAGCAGGAGGAGTTGTCATTGTGAGTGTAGCTGTGTGCCAAAGGTGGCAGTCTGACTCTGCTTCAAGACAGAGATCCCCTCCTCTCACCCGTGCACCCTGTGCAGTTAATTATTGGTTTTGACTGAAGAGCTCCTTCACTTCCATTAAAATGAACACCTTTTTTTTTAATGACTGCAGCCATCTGTTAGGACTGTGTTCATATTTGTGGTCATATGAGACGTATCTTGGGTGTTGACAGTCTCTGTCTGTTGAAGCTTGCAACTGGACAGGGGCAGGCTTGCTGTGTTTCTCAGCTGCAGTCACTTCCTCTGCTGTAGTGGCAAACCCAGCTGTACTGGGTTTCATGCTGCCAGGGCGAGAACAGCTGCTGGAACCAGATCCAAGTGGGTTAGACCCAGCTCAGGTGTCTGCCAAAGGAATTCACTCTTACACACATTCTGTTCCCTCCTCTGGCTGGTCTGGAGGGTCACAAAGGATATGGGTTTGGGTTTTGGTTTCTTTTGGTTGGTTGGTTGTTTTTTTTCCAGTTAATAATTTTACTACTCTGAGCTTTCCAGACCTTTCTACAAACTGCTTTATTTTTAGTAGTCTATGTTAGTTCAGTTTCACGAGAGACAGGGAAAATAAACTTCAGTTACCAGTCTGACATTCTCAAGCTTTGAAAAACCTTTGGTATGTGTCCTCTAGAAGACATATATATAAACATCTGTTTCAGTACATTTCAAAAGTAATAGATATTTGAGAATGAATCCATAAAATATGTGATTTTTTTCCTGACTGGACTGGGGCAAAACTGAAAAGTCAAAATGACTAATTTAGTTCTTAGGCAAGAAAAAGGAAAATTCAATTTCTTCTAATTTCAGAGGAAGTTTGACTTACAGCTGAGGAATTTCCTAAAACAAAGGAGAACTAAGTAACATCTTTGTATCGTGGGACAAGTAAAATAACTATCAGTAACTAGCTAGGTATTCTTTAACAGGAAATAAAATTGATATACTTTTCAGCTTTTAATAAAAATTAGCAACATAAAATAGTACCATTTATTCTTTCTGTTAAGTTTCAAATAATAGAAGCTTTTGAAAATTGATATTCTACCACTTTTTAAATTTAATTTCTCTGACCATGCTTAATGATACTGCATCAGTTGTTAGTTACTGGTGCCAAATTTTATTGCATGTTGCATTATTTATCTTAATTCATTTAGATGTTACTGGTAGGCATTCTCACTGGTGGACACTTCACTTTGAAAAACCTTTCTTTATCTTCTGATCAAAGACTCCTTTAAGTCATTCTATTCTTACACCATGGTCAAATAAAGAAGAAAGCCTAAAGCTTACCTAAAAGGGTGGTGAATTGGTTTGACAAAATCTTCTGAAGAATGCAGTTGTTATCCCCAGAAATCAGTGATCCTTTTCGAAGAGACAGCCTCTCCATCTCCAAACATATAACCGATTTTCTCTAGGGCAGGGGGAATCAGAAGTGGCATTAAAGAAGAAAGGAGTAGCAATCTCCTCCAACAACAGTCAATGTTTTCTTTGGCTGATGTGCATCAGGGGGATCAGTTTTACCGTGGTGTGCCCTGCAGTGAAGACAAAGCCAAAATTTTACAGGTATAAAGAGCAGAACCTACAGAAAAATAAATCTCAGTATCCCTTATCTGAGGAAGAATAGAGGGGAGATATTCCAAAATATTTGGAAGGTTTGCCTGGAGAAGACTATGTGGTTTTCATAATTGAAAAGGGATTTTTTTTTTTTTTTTCTTTTTGCTGAACTCAGAGCATTTCTTTTAAAATAACCTCTCTTGACTTAAATCACCTTGTAATGGTCAAATTGTTATTTAAGAGTTTCTTATGTAATACCAAAACAAATATTTGGATGTGGTTTTGTCTTTGCAGCTTTACAGTGGGAAATCAAAAGTGTAAGGGCAAGTAGAGGAGACAAATGTCTGACTAGGTGTAGTGGAATTCTGAAAGGATACTGTGATCGAAGTAGATTCTAGGAAATGCTTTTGTGCTATGCGGTGTACTGGAAACCTCATAAATAAATAAACTTGATTATATTTTTTAGATGACTTTCAGAAGCTCTAGCACATGCATTGAAACAATTCTTTGGCTGCTGTAGATACTGCTGTGAAAACTGGGAAACTGAAATCTAAGCTATTTAAATAACTGCTACTGTATTTAAATGCAGACTTCTAAGTTGCTTATGATTTTATTGTAGTTTAAATTATTAGTTCGATTTTTTATGCCTAACTCAGCTAATTGCGTGGTGGTTTTTTTCAGGAGGAAGAGATGAGATTTTGTTGCTATTGTATTTTCTTCCTTTTGCCTTTTCCTCCAGAAAATGTGTGGAAATCCTCAACTGTTTAATCATGCCTAACGTCAAAACAAAGCACATTTTGGCTACGGCTGGGTTGGTTTTGTTTTGTGTTTTAAGAAAATGCAGTCTATGAAAAGCTATTCTGCCCTTATTTTCTGAAGAGGCTTTTGACACAGAATAATATTGTACTATATGTGTCTGGAAAGAACGGTACAATTGCTGAGAAAATGTGCTTAATATTGTTGCGGTTTTATTCTGTAAAATCTTTTTACATATACTTTCAGAGCTCAAGCAAATTTAGTTATGGCACTTCCTGTGCCTTAAATGTTTTGATCCTGTTTTGCATAACTGTCTTCATATTATGTATGACAGTGGAACTGAAGCCAAACAAAGGTGCTTCAGTAGTAAAGACAGACATTTGTAATACATGTAAAAGCTGTATTTCCAATCCCCTTTGTAAGATGCAGAAATATTACCCCACACACTGTGGTGTTCGTTTTTGGGCCGTTTTGTTTTTTGTTTTGTTTTTTTCCCAGAGAGCAGATCATGCTGTAAAAGCTATACCTAAACTGTGCGATCCAAAATCATTACCCTTTTCTGTGCACTATGTGTAGCTTAGATGTATCTTTTGTTCTTGTCACTTTAGCTCTGGGGTGCACACAATCCCATTCTTTCCCCCGCTACATTTTCAAAGTGGGAGGCAGAGAGGGCAGGGATATATTTTAGATGGATTTAAGTGATTTACGGACCACCTATACCTTCTGTTAGGCCTGTGCTACATAGTTTAGAAGTAGCCAGAGAGACTAATGTTTTGTCTAATCAGGTTGTATACTTCTACCTTTAAAAAAAAAAAAAAAAAAAGTACATGCAATCTCGACACACCTGTTACCAGATTAATTTTACTACTACAGCTCTCCTCCTTTATCCTATTAGTATCCGTGAAATTACTCCAATATAAAGATTCACTGTATGTAGCTATAGTGATGTGCATACTTACTGGACTGTGACCATACAAAGTGAAGGGGATGATGTACTTACTGGTTTAAATATGCTGAAGTCTGTGACAGAGTTAGGAAGGCATGCTACACCTTGTCACCTACTCATTTCTACCTAAGCAGATGTTCTTGTTCCTTGTAGTGTGGCTTCCTGTTGTGGTGCATGGCTCCAAGTCCTTCTAATGGGGCAGAATTTCTCTATCGTCGAATTATCCGACCTTTCTTCCTGAAGCACGAAGCTCAGCTTGACAGTGTTGTTAAAGACCTGAAAGACAAGGCTGCAGAGACTGCAGATACCATCACTAAAGAAGGTGAGGAAAAGACCATTCACTAATCACATCAAGTAGGAGGAATTTCCCTGGGCAACTCACAATATTACAGTTAATATTCATCATCTGGGGAGAAAAAAAATGTAAGAAGATTATATAGATTATCATGGAGAAGTTAAATTTGGGTGAAGATGCCAGGAAAAGAGGACTGCAGTGGATCTCACTTTCTACGAGTGCAGTTATGCTAGAATGAGTACAAGCTGTATGAGTGGAAGAAATGGCTAGTTAGTTTGTGTGTCTTCCCACTACAGGTATCACTATAAACATTCTTTATAGAGGCAGGTCCAAACATCACAAGATACCCTTCATAAATACAGTTATTATTTCAATGTATTCTTCTATCTCCTTGTCATGGTTTGAGCCCAGAGAGTAACTGAACACCACACAGCTGTTTACTCATGCCTTCCCTCCCAGCACTGGGAGGCAGAAAGTGAAATAAACGGCTTGGGAATCAAGATGAGGACAGGGAGGGGTGGATTACCCATTGCAGTCACAGGCAAAAGACACACTTATTAGAGGAAGAAAAAGAACATCACTTTAATTCAAACACTAACTAAACCAACACACAGCAGAACAACAGACAAGGCGGGACAGTGAGAAGCACCACCATATCAAAAAACCACCTTCCCCCCGTCCCTCCCCTCTTCCTGGGTTCAGCTCGGCTCTAGATCTCTCTACCTCCCTCCCCCCAGCAGCGCGGGGGAGCAGGGGATGGGGGTTACAATCAGTTTGCCACTCCTTCCCTCATGGGGGGTGGGTGGGGGCTCCCCTCTCACAGAGCCCTCCATGAACCTTTTCTGCACTGAGTCCCCCACCACGGGCCGCGGCCGTTCCCATGCTGATCCAGCACGGGTCACCCCCGCTTGACGCAGTCCTCCCAGAGCCAAACCACAGCAGCGGGGGCTGTTTCTACCCTCAGAGTCCCGGCCTCATTTAAGCACAGCCGCCTGTCCTACTGTGGCCTTCTCCTCAGGCTTCAGGCCGGCCTCTGCTCCACCGCAGCCCTCCATGGGTGTCAGGGGGGCGGCCCGGCTGTCTCACCGCGGGATACATGGAGGCTCTGCTCCAGCACACTTCCCCCACATCTTTCTCCTTCCTTCCACTGGCCTGGGTGTCCACATAGGTGTTGCAACTCCTCCTCACAACTCCCTCTCCTCCCACCACATTCCCCTTCTTAAATATGTTATCGCAGAAGTGTGGCCACGGTTGCTGGTTGGCTCGGCCCTGGCCAGAGGTGGGTCTGACTTGGAGCTGGGGGAGCTTTGAAGCAGCTTCTCACAGGGGCCGCTGCTGTAGCCCCCTCCCCTGCTGCCAAAAACCCTGCCATACAAACCCAGCACACTCCTAAAATACTGTCTCAAATACCTGGTTGTATAGAGAGGCTGCCAACTGCGTAGTAAAGCACATCCTTTAACTCCAATAAATGGCAACGTGGGAAATTAAGTTTTCCCACGTAGAAGTTCTTTGTACTTTTCCTTCCTCTGAAAATCAAAGGGTTCCGAGCCCATACTTAAATAACTTAGGTTTTTATTTGGTTAGAATAAATGTTATCACAGACTGTAGATGGCTTAATTTTTGCTTTTATTTCCTTGCATTCTGTAGTGGATCCTCATACTCTAAAATGTCTGATGATAGTTTTATGGATAAGAAATGTATTAGGTAGCTAAAATGAAGGTTTATTTAAATTTTATTTGAAAGGAAATTTATTTATAAGATACTTGAGAGCTCCTTAAGTCTCCTTTCCCTCAAGTAACATGTGCAGTCTCAATTCCTCTTACCAACTTAAGCAGTTTTCCTGTAAATGATCTGATTTCCCAACTATGTTTGGCAATTTTGCTGCATGACCCTTCCTGAATCATTATTGTTAGACAGGCATCTTAAATAATGTTCTTACATGTTGCACATGCGATTTTTCTGTCCCCATTCCATGACTTACTCTTTTTCCCGTTTTTACATATAAAGATGCCAACATACAGACATTTATTTTTTTAAGAAATCCTGCATGCACATATGCATGTAGACACACCTATTAGTGTTATTCCAGCCCTATTTCATTAGCTTGGAAGTATATTTCTTGCTATCAACTATGTATGTCCTAAACACCGTGAGCAGCTCTAATTTACTGATACAATAGTTGTAAGTCAGTCTGTGCTGTTCATTGTGCTGCTCCTTGCTTACGGTTCATTTTTTGAAGACTTTATATAATCAGTTTTATCACTATGTCTGTGTGAATGTGTATACAAAAGCTATGATTTTCTTTTGTGATGTTTCTTTTGTGACCTCAGAAGAAAGTTGTTTTTTTTTTTTTTATGAAGCTCAAGAACATCCAATAAGCCACTTCATCTGTAGGCCTCTAAGATTAAACTTGCATTTATTTTTCTACAGCCAAGAAAGCAACAGTGAACTTACTGAGTGAAGAAAAGAAGAGTACTTAAACTATTATCTGGATAAAGTTTCCCTACCACCTCCTTTATGAAGCTTGATGTTACTGGGAACTGTGGTATAATTTTAATAATATTGCCTTGGAAACATTTTGATATATTAAAGAAATGTGTTGTAAGTTTGCTTACTACTTTGCTGTGTCTGTATAGAAAGTAAGCATTTTATTTAAAAGCAATGCAGTGGGTGGTGTCTGAAGCTTAATGAAAATATTTTATTCATCTTGATGCAGAAATCTTTCAGTAATCTCTTTCTGCAGTAACATAAATAAAAAGTATATATCCCACAGGCTCTGCACTTTAGTTGTCTCTTTGTGTATGTAATTATTCTCAACACTTTGACTGTGGTGCATCTGGTAACATGAAGCTATTGCATAAGAAAAATACTAGTCTGAACGCATCTTCTTGAATATACAGGGAATTATTGTGACAGATGGCATAACAATGTATTCCCCACCAGTAAAGTTGTAAATGATGAAGTTACATGTTCTAGGCACCTGATGATAGAGATTATTCATTGTTGCATGTTTTGCTGTAACACAATTATTTGGTACAGTGTGTGTATTCTTAAATGGCTAGATACTAAATATAGGAAAGAGTAACTTCATTCAAGTGATCATGCTTATATTAGCATGAAGTAATTTGAAAGAAATGGATGCATTAAATTGCACAATATTAGCACAAGATGATGAAAGTACAACTTCTTGCCTCTTCTTGCTAAATCAAGTTGTCATCTAAAATTGTTAATAGAGTGCCTTTTAAGATCACACTCAAAAGCACAAACCACATTTTGCTAAGGAGCAATACCACTTGCAAACACTTTTTCCTGAAGTCCTGTTGAAATACTAACTGCCTTGGGTGTCAGTCCCAAGAACTAGCTCATTAATAGGATAGACTTCAACCTCCATGAACTTTTTCTGCATAAAAATCTGGAATTCCTTCTGACTATACTAAGAACAACTTTGCATGAGCACTGACACTTCCTGAATAGAGATGCTGCTTTTGTTACTTGATTATATTCCTGACCAATCAGTAAGAATGCCACCAAAGTTAAGAGAATAAAGGCTCTTTTGCAATCAATGGAAAATATATTTTTTTTTTTGTCCAGAATCTGTATTTACTCTTTCACATCACAGTATTTTCAACAAATTCAGCATGAATTACTGAAATCAACCTGTTCTCATCTCCATGCTGACTTTTCTTTAAAGCCTACAGGAATGCTATGACAGTTCTTAACTCACAGAACATGCAGAAGGTGAGAAGCTTTTGATACAATGAAAAGTGATTTCAGGTCACAAACTTAAATTCAAAAGATTTAATCTTAAAATAGACTTTCAAAGACTTCTGGCTTTCTGCAACAAGTCAGTATATAAACATTCACTGTAAGTTTTCAGAGGCAAGAGCTGCAAAAGAATGAAGTACACAGTGCAAGTCAGCAGGTCAGTTTTAAATCTGAGATATATGTTTTATAAGAAGAGATGTAGAAGTGTCTTAAGAGAAAGCATTTTAAGCTTTAAGGTGGAAAATGGCCCTTACGGCTGTCAGCTTGGCTAGGAAAGCATGAGACCTACTAGGCATCATTTTCTGTAGGACAGCATGTAGTTTGTCATTCAAAAGAAAAATGTAAAGTACCACAGCTAATCGTTCCATGACAGCTTTTTGTTGTGAGTGGATTTGCTGAAGAGGATAAAGTTTACAGCAAAGTTGTAGATGGAAGGGAATAAAAAGTTTGAAGGGACTCACCATTTTAGTGGTTTAATTTCTTGTCTTCCTCTGTCTTAAACTCACTGAGCTTTTCTGTAAGCCATTCTAATTCCTAGTGCTGTGTTTTAAATTCTGTCAACCGTGTATATAGCAGGCATGTGGCCAGTGTAATTTAAGTTTCACCCTTTGAAATAAGTAATAGGTAAATAAAAATACTTAATTGTCTGTCTGATTTAGGCACAAAGTACTACCTAACTTACTTCTCTAAAAACTGTTGATAAATCTTAGACTTTCCAAGCCTAACCATGTCTGTAGTAGAAACAGAACTTATTTTTTATTTCTCATACTATTCAACAGTTCTTCCACTGTTATTAATGGGGATAAAACATTTCTTAACAGTTAGGCTTTAAATCAACTTCTCGTCTTTACAACTTGCTATTTCTTGACCAGTGGCTAAATTCTGTGCTCCTTTGTCAGATTGCTACTTGAAGTAGAACTACAATCTGTTGTGAACAGAACTTAATCTTGTTGTTTGCATTGATGCAAGTAGAAATGGCTGATTTTCTGCAGCAAGTTATCCTTTCCTGCAAGTAACTCAGCTGGGCTGGCCCCACAGATCAGTGCTCTTCTGTTTTCTTCACAACATTTACATGCAGATGTTGGTACCCACATCTACTCGTCTGTGCTGAAGTTGTAATGTGCTAAATAAAAATGGACACAAATAAAGAGATTCTTACAGGACTGGTATGGTGTCTCAGTATTTCTTAAGAACTTTATACCTCAACACCAGAAACCTGATTACGAAGGCAGAAGGTCTTTATAGGATATTCACTTTTTTACCCAAACTTCACTAATGGGGAACTAGTAGAAACCTCTCTAAAAGCCTGGAGGAAGTACTGCTTCATGACTGGATCTCGGGGTGCAACCGAGCTGTTTTAGAGCATCAGGCCTTAACAGAAGAGTTTGGAATACAGATCTGTTCTCAACAGTGAGCACCATGAGCAGCTGCCTACACAGCACAGCTTTCCAGACTTCATAGCCTTGCTTACCTAAGGAATCATCCAGGTTTACTGTTCTTCAGAAATACAGAGAGGAAAGCTGATAAACCACAGGGATTTCAACGTTTTTTCTTTGCCTATTGATTTTATAGTATTCCATAAATGGCCTAGACAAATGATGCTGCAGTTACTGGCAGATGGAGGGGTGTTACAGTTCTTTCTGCTACCAGTGTAAGTAGGACATTTCTTCTACTTTATCCTACGCATTTCCAAACTCAGCAAAAAGGACAAAATGTTCAGAAAAACATTTAAAAAAAACCCACAATGATAACATTTAGTATCACTAGTGATACTAAAATTAAACTAAATTGTTCAAACCAAAGCAAGATAGTTAACAACAGAAATTCTTGTAAGTAGTAGAAGATGTGACTAATTTTTGTCAGGTCAAACCCTCACAACTTTTTTTAATTTGACAAATTTAAGAAAGTGTCTTGAGTTTGCATTCCAGTCTTGTCAAAGCTGTTAAAGTAGTCTGAGAATCAACACAGAAATATTACAACTAATTTCTTAGTCACCTTCCGCCCACATTTCAAACTCAACCAACAATAACCTCCTTATGCAAAGCAAGAACAGAATTTTAAAAAACATAGTCACGAGTTCTTGGAGGTCATAAGAGACTGTCAGTATTTCCTGTAAACTGCATGTCCAGCAACCATGCAAGTATAGTGAACATCAGTCCTGTTGTTTCCAGAGGACTTCTACATCCAGTGTGATCAAGTGAAACAGTACTTGAGGAAAGAGTACCTAGGACCACGAAGGGAGTCCTCAGCTGTACAACAATGCTGACCTGGCTTTCTGAAGAATGTATTTCCTACTAGTACATAAAACATTAAGATATTCCAGAGCAAAAAAATCCTGATGATTACATAAACTAGTCAAGTAAAAGTAAGTGAAGATGAGCTTCTTTGAATTTAGCATCTTTTGGAAGGCTATGTAGTTGATGCCTTTGCTAAGGCTATGGAATTTCACAAAAGAAGTAGCACTTTCTATACCTGCTAATTTGGTATTATTGCATCCTTGCAGGAGGAAAATTCTGAAAGCCTCCAATTAGACATGTCTAAGTTCTGCTATCTAGAAAACAAAACAAAAAACTCCAAACCTTGACAGAGGAAGAAAAGACACATGTAGCATTTCATAAGAAACAGCACTACAGAGTAGGCTGCTCAGTTCCTAGCTGGAGTGTCTCCTGCCCTCTCCCAGGTCCCATACTACCAGTGACCATGGGTTTCCTCCCATCTCTCTTACACCAGCCACTACATTATATTCACTTCTATCTCTTAAGGACCTTTAGCAAAAGGCAGGTCATTTGGTAGGTATTTTATCAGATCCAATCTGTACCTAATCTGCAGCTGCACGTGTGCCAGCTGAACACCCAACATATTAAATGCAGTTTGGTCAGAGCAAACTGCCAACCACAATGGATGCACACTCAATCTCCTTGCCTTTCCTTGTTCCATCTGCAACATAAAAACTTTCTTCACTGGATCATACATTAACATAGTCTTATCTCCTAATTTGACTGCTTAACTTCATGAGTTACTGGAATTTATTATCTTTGAGACCTCTGCTCTTTTTATCATGTCAAGCAAATGACTCAACAGGCTCAAAAGTTATCAAGCAATAGCACAGGAGAGAGTTTGTATTAAGCCTTTTTTCTTTAAGGAAAAAAAAAAAAAAAACCAAAAAAACCCACCTCTTCGAAAAGTGAGGTTGTATTATTCTTGTATTATTCTAAGATGTAAAATAACCCCATAAAGGCCAGTCTACCAGGAAGGAGCTAAACCCATGGGAATGGTTCAAAGCTGCACCACAGGAGGTTGACAATAGGAAGCATTTCTTTACTGGGAGGGCAGTCAGACACTGGAAGAGGCTTCCTAGAGAGGTGGTCCATGCTTGTCAGTGTATAAAAGGCATTTGGACACTGCTCTTAACACGCTTTAACTTTTGGTCAGCCCTGAAGTGGTCATGAAGTTGGACTAGGCAATTGTTGTAAGTCCTTTTCAACTGAAATAGTCCACTCCATTCCACACAGCTACAGAGAAGGAAACAAGGGAGCCACACCACCTTTCATGCTCTCAGTACAGCACATACGAACATCCCAGATGTATGTACTTCCCCAAAAGGGAGTTCTGGCTAAAATGCTCTAACCATTAAACACACACAAGTAACAGTATATACCCACAGACAACTTTAAGAACAGTTATTTTCCAGAGCTGGTATTTGAGAAATTTACTTCATGGCTGAAGGTGAAGAACAACTACACATTGTCACACATTATTGTCACTTTCCAAGTTAAAACACATTTCAAAATAATGTAAAGAAAGTGAATTTCAAAAGGTTAAGAGCTGAAAAATGATGGCTGTGCTTCTACTACAGCAGCTACATGGCCCCTTCCACACATCTGAAAGAGTAAAACATCTCTTACAGCAGTGCTGAATTTTCATGTTTAGTCATTCCTTTGTTAATTGGCTGTGTCTTCAGATCTGCCTAATGGCCAGTGACCATGTTCCCATTCATTACTGACACAGAAACTGTTATAAGGATTCTGAGCTCACATGTCCATTTCAAATGTTTAATCAGTGTTGGTACCCAAACAATAGCACAGGAACACAAGAAGTATATACTTTTAAATAGCTAGACTAGTATCTTCTGAAGGGACACTACCTCAAATATCCACATTCCAAGTGTCTTAGCTGCAGAGTAAATTCCGACTCAGTGATGCACATCTTTGCTAGTACTGCCAGGTACAGGAAAGCACAGACCAGTGTCTTTTTAGTAACTATACTGCATAAGCAAATTCTCACAGGCACTAAAAGCAAGACAGCTGAAATAAAGACATCCATTATCACCCAGTTTTTCATTCCAAAAAAGATACTTTATTGATAACATTGAGACCAACAGTTGCAATATTTCTGCATTTTCACAACCTTATCTCCACTCCCAGTCCCACAATGGCCTCTAACCATCCTCCCTGTTCCCAGAACTAAGGAGGTGAAAGGGAAAGGGGAAAGGTGCTGAAGAAGGGGGAAAGAACTGCAGAAGAACATGACTTACTATCTTGACCCACTTGTTTTTAATCCTGTAAGGAACCCAGTTTATTAAAAAAAACCAGGAAATACAGAAATGAAAGTTTGTTTTATATGCTTAACCTATAGCAGGAACAGTAGAGTTGTGCTTAACTTTGTGATGCCTCATTTAGGAACAAGTGTTGCTCACATAGTATACTTTAAAGACAGAGAGAAATCAAAAAAAGCAAAATTATTAATTAATTTAGAGATGGAGGGATAAGCAGCCAGGGGTTGGGGGAATATGACTTCAACCCCGTTTTTAGTAGATATGTTATTTCCTAGCAGCGCATAATTTCCTTAAAGAGTCAGCTTTACATAAAACATCTGTAAAGCTTTCTCTGTTTATTTGATTAAGTCAGTGTTACGTATTTGAGGTCAATATTACACTCTTCAGAAATCTTTTCTGTAAGATCCGTATACTTTAAAATAGTTTTACTATTTTGGGTTCTTTCATTAGAAAATTTTGGTAAGCAATGCCACCAATATTCTTTCTCAGTATACGTACTGTAACACAGACAAGATATTTAATTCCTATCCATTGTAATAATTTCAGCTTAAAGTGCCGATTTACAGTACTTAGGCATAACATGATCATGACTTGGTTGGAGTCATTCCCTTACACTTAACCTCATGGAGCTGAGTTATATTCTACTGCATTCTCCACATTGCAACTAACCTGTTGTAACTTCCTCTATAGAGGGGACATAACTAACAACCTCTGACCATGTCCACTTGTTTTCTATAACAAAAACAAAACAAAACAAAACAACAACTTTTCAAATAGCACCTGCTTTCACTGTTCATATCCTATGTCATTCCATTAATTGAGAGGTATCATTTAACTCGCAAAAATTTAGGTGTCTTTTCAAAGCCAGGCACCCTAAAAGTAGCTTGTGTAAACTTTCATCAGCAGAAAAAAAACCTGAAGACATTTATATATGACCACGGTTAATTACAACTTTAGAATACAGGATTTCTCCTCCACAGCCCTTCTATTTTAGAGGTCCTACATATGGCTACTCTCACTCTAGTTCAGGGCTTGGCCTGAGGAATTTTGTCATGGCAGATTTTGTATTTGGCACAACCACAGTGAGAATAATGCATCCTCCTCTTTCATTAAACAATGCAACACAAGAATCACACTTACAAAGCAGTACACACAGGAAATACAATTGACTGAATTATTCACAAGTTAGGGTCTCTATACAGCTGCCTTACTGGTACCTACGAGCGTCGCCTTCAAGGGGCATTGGTAACTCACCATCTATTTGAAAGTGGTGCAGTTGAGTGGAACAAGAAATACAAGGATGTAAAGAAACTGAAACTACAAGCACAAGTAACTGGAGCAGGGATATCAAGATCTTTATCAAGTTTCAATACTTTAGAAGAGTCATTGAATGTCTATATATATTTTGAATGCTGTCTTTAAAATGGGAAAAAGGTGATGTCATAGAATAGCATACCTGATAGACAAACATGACAAATCCTAAAGAAAATATTGCCACACGAAAAATTTATCAAAAACAACCTGGTAACTTGTTTCCAGTAGTCAACTGGAAGTCAAGTATTCAACTGACTTTGTTTTCATACATTAAGGATTAGAAAACTCATGCAATACATCTGTTTTTAAACTCAAAACAGGTACTTCTGCTTTGTTTTCAGTCTCCTTATACTAAACTACCCCCCACTTAACTTGTACAGTACATTATTTTGTTACTCTGAAGGCGCCTTCCTACTGGACAAATCTTCTGACCAACTCATCTTCTCCAAATAACCTTCTGTCGCTGTCCGTAAACTACATTAAAAAAATATTTTAATTTACCAGATACTGCAAGCCTTACACATCTGAAATATTGAGAGGTAGAAAATAAAGATACATTTTCTAAGCTCTCAAACAACAATCCAAAATAGGATAACACAGTATTCCACATTTTACAAGACTCAAAAGGGAGCTTTTTTTTTTTTTTCAAATTGTCTTAAAACTTTACCTTATTATGCTTACAATCTATGTCACTGACCTCTTTACAACAAGCTGTGCAGGAAAATAAACACTTTTGTAAAAAGTATCCTGTAAAATTACCTTTTCTAAAATCAACATGTCACTTTTAGTACACTTGACATTTGTGAAAAATTATTAGCAAGGAAAGTTTACAGAGCCATAACTTCACTGATTTACATTTCCCTACTAATGACAAAGATCCTCCAGAATTAAGACAATCACTTCACTAGCATAGATAAAACTAAGGCAGCCAGCTTTCAAATAGTGAGTCTGCGTAAGAATATTTCATTAGCAAAAGCTGCATATTTCCTCTGGAAAGAATAATTCCCCCACCCACCCCATTTCCCCATGTTCTTCCACTTTTAAAAGTGGATGCTAGCTTCAGACTTGCAGGTTGTGTGTGAAGACAGATTTATCGTTACACAGATGCGAGGCAGCTACATGCATTCCAGTTCTGAGAAAAGCAGGCAGTTCTATTTAGCTTCACCTATTTATTTCTTGCTTCTATCTTTCAAAGTTGCAGCAAATAATGTGTCCATCCGCATTTTTCCCAAGTACGACTATGTGATGTAACAATTACTCCAGATGTGAGGTCATTTCTTTTCTTTCCTTTACCTTTCTTGCCTGCCTCTCCTTGCTGAAGGCTTTGATCACTACCTCCTATCTTTTGGGTCCTTGTTTTCAGTTTAGGAATGGTTTCTGCAGCATACAGCATTACTGATTTACCTAAAAATACAGGGAGAGATCAATGCATGTCTACTACGTATGAGAACATTTGCATCACAAGTTAGAAATTTCAGCCCCACTTTAGGTTTCTGCTAAACTAGATAAAAAGCCTAGGAGTTCTGCTTCCTTTCCCTGTGTAGCTAGATATTTGTGCAAAAAGTCCTCTCAGCCTTTCATTTTAAAGAAGTACAGGATAGCTAAATGTTGCAGCAGACTGCAACAGGCACATAACCTGATAAACTCCGAAGTATTCACATCCTTCCTGTTACTCTTTCCCTTCACCTCTTAATGGCTTAAAATACCGAAGACAGAACAACCAAGCAAAACCTACAAGCATTTTTAGAAGGGTGCTGCTGTCCTCCAGCAGGAATATGGTTTTAAATTGTCTCCTTCTGACCAAGAGCACTCTACTACTACTCTGGATTCAATATTGGTTTTGATCTTTTCTTAAGATATGCAATTCGTGAGATATGTACTTGCTTCCCTTTTACATACTGATTCATTTTCAGGAAAATACAAAGGACTGAGTTACTTATCATTCAAGATGAATGATTACTGTTAATTAGTTAAAGGGAGCTGCTCCATTGTTAATTTAAGAAAACAGTCAGAGAAACCCCCAACTGACATCAGGATTGTATTTTATCAATTTCATGTTCATACTGATGCCTAGCTGATGTAACCCAAGAAAAAGATGGAATTTAGCCATTTTAATATAAAATCCTCAGTTTTAACTGTTAACAAAACAGTAAGCCAAATCTGACTAGCTGCTTTGTTAAACACAGCAATCAAACAACACTCCCTACAATCCCTTCCAACACAACAGCTGAAGAAACAGCAGGACCAAAGAGAACAGCATTTTACAAACTCCACTCAGGGCTCACACACCAGCTTGATTTGGTTGACTTACCCATGCAAAGAGATTTAATGTAAAGTTGTAAAGTTTGTAACAGTAAAACTAATTAAACACACTGGTAACATAATAAAACAAAGTCTGTTTTATTGACAGATAAAGTGCCTAACCCAGGTACTCTACTCACGTGTTGGAAACTGAGGTAAACATGGGTTGCCATCATCTTGTTTGAGCTGGATTCGAACTCTACCTCTGTACTGCACATCTCTGTTCCACTCTCTAGGATACATCTTATTCTTCTGTCATACAAAAGGGAAAACTTATAATAAAAGTACTGTAATGATTTTCTGCAAAATTTGTCAGGCAATTGATCACACCAGCCTGGGATTCTGAACAGATGTAAACTGTAACTCTCCAACAGTGTCATCCACCATTGGCCACTGCAGTAGTTCGTATCCAAAGCTATAGCGTAACTGCTTCGTAAGCACGGCTGCAACCACCTACTGGTACTGAACAGTTTAGCACACTACAGGGACTCTTCTACTTCCCCACCAGCCTGGGCTGCAATGACATGGGTTTTTGTTTCACCTCCACAGCCACAAACCCTTCTGGACACGTAAAGACAGCAAGTCATAGGTCACAGTCTGAGGCCCACTGCTTTTAGATACTGATTTTAGCCTTCATTTTTGTTACAGGTTTCTTGCTGGTACTGGCTATTTCACAGGCTGGTGTGCACTAACAGGGATATATTTGACTTATTCTGAAAAGCAAAGTGATTTTGTACTCGTTTTTAGATATCAATCACACTCCTAGATGAGGACCCAAGTTCTTCTTAGAAAATTCAAGTGTCAAATTAACAATTATATCAGAAAACAAATTGTGTAAAGTTGCCTCTCTAGAAACACAGACTTATTGCCCAAGAAAAAAGTAACCAACTTGAAGAGTAAGCAGGTATTGCAGTAAAAAAAATAACATTCTTTGGCTAAAATATAACTGTGAAGGACTCTAAATATTTCAAGCATCAGAATTCTGTTCCTACAGGACACTCATTCCAAAAGGTAATCACCTTTCATTAAGAATATGCCTTTTTAAAAGCTTCATTTGCAGCGTTACAGCTTGCAAAATTAGCTTTTATTCTGACACACTTTTAAGCATACAGGATAGTCTTCTCAGAAAGACAGTTAAATAAAAGTAGTCTTTCTATAAGCTTAAAAGTGGCATTGTCTCAGAGATCTGGGTTATTCCTGCCTTGCATACAGTTTTCCAGCATTTACTGCATTATAATCAGTTATTATTCAAAGCAATATCCTGGCTGATAACAAAAACTTCTCAATTGTAATTTATCCTGTCTGTAAGAAAAGATACACTGAAAGAAGACAGACATATACTAGCTTTGCGAGGGGTCTGTTTGTTTTTAATATTACCTCTAATAGCACATTGAATCCAACTGCTGCACATACATCTTGGATTTCCACAGAAGTGGGATTTTCAACAGCCTGATGAAACAATGTGTTACAGTTAATTATTTTTCAGTTATGAACTACCTATACAGCAATAGTTCGCAGTTTCCTAGCCTATAGTCTGTAACTAGAAAAAGCAGATGAGGAAAGAGAAGGTGCTTCAAATTCAACTGTATCCAATCAGATCTACTGTAGAAGCCATCTGTGAGCAGACCTATGGTCTAGAAAACATCAAAAAAAAAAGGGAGAAGACGTAAGTAAAACAGGAAACAGATGAGAGAATTAATTAGACAAGGGAACAAGTAAAAGAATTCCTTAGGAAAAGTAATTGAAATGAAATACCATCTATTATATTTACCAAAAAATTCCAAAAGACATGAATCAGAAACTGCAAACTTACAGCAAGGACTGCAGAAGAAAAGAAGAGAAACTTTCTTGGTATAGGACAGCAGATTCCTCCCACAGATGCATCTTTGGCAACTTGCACACTCAAGAAAGATTTTATTTTTTAAGTATTATCAGAGAAAACCTCAATCTTAAGCAGTGAGAAAAGCCCTTGATATTCCCTGCAGTGCTTGTTAAAAATATTACAAAGGGGTGAGATGATAAAAAAACTATTTCTGGACAGAATAAAAGCAACAACTACCAAGACGATATGCCACATGCATTGCAAGTCCTATCTTTGACAGCAGCAAAGGGGACAGGGCACATAATACAGACATATATAGCCAGTCACCAAAAAACAATCATTAGCTAGCTATTCTTTTCTGTATCACTTTCAAATTTGGCAAACTACTTGAGACTGAGTGCATCAAGTTTTTTATTACTTCACCTGCTTGCTAAAGGTGCTGCTCACATTAAAGTAGACACTTAAACCCAGTGCTCTTCTACCAAATTCACATGCTGATACTAGGATATCTTCAAATACACTAATTTCAGTTATTGAGCTGCTTGCCATGGGGGATGGGAAAGATCAATAGCTTTGAGATTTCTTTTCCAACTCTCTACACACTATTGCATAGCAAAACAAAACACTGTATTTCCCTGCCACCCACAAAATTACTTTGTCTATAGGTATCCTTCTTCCTTCTGCTATTGTCTTCTTGTTATTCAAATAGGCTGGATAAATGCAGATGAATCTAAAAAGAAAAAACAGTGAGTTTAAGCAAGACCAACTCCTTAGGTTGTTTATGCACTATCTCCCTAGTAAAACAAAAAATAAATCTTGTGGTTGCAACACCAGAAGTTCCCAGAGCAGATTAGAACAACCATTTATTCTACCTAGACCAATCTGTAAAATGTTACAAAACTCCATTTTGAGTTATCCAGGACTGCACAACTATTTGGCTGAAGTGTTCCTTGCATGATACCACTTTCTGGGGTACAGTGTCTGCAAAGGACAGCACTATCTACCTTGAGGAAAAAAGGGCAGCTGAATGTTTTGACCCACTTCTTAAACCCCTGAAACCTACAAGGAAACATACATATTTTCCTGAGAAGCAATAAAGAAGGTTTCCAGAAAAGATTTTTGTACACTAAGTGCTGACTCAGTTCTTCATAGAAGCAAGCAGCAGGTTTTTTTTCACTACCGACTTCAGATTTTTCTTTTTTTTTTTTTTTTTCTTTTGTGCTATTCACACACAGAACCACCCCGATCTGGGTAAGTTATAAAGTGTCTGAAAAACTACGCTTAAGATTTTTCAGTAGATTTAAACCCGTAAAGCACGTACATGGGACAGGAGTTACGGAGCAATTATACTTCTTATTCGACAGTAAAAACCCAACTAGCTGAAGTCTGCAAGGAGAGGCTGAAGAATGCCGACATTTGAATGAGAAGCTATGGTGGCGTAAGAAAACAGGAAAGCAGAAAGTAAAGGGAGTAACCTGGAGTCGACTAATGCTCAGTTGGAGACGGACAACGATCACCGACCCTTACTGCCTCTCAGGAAATATGTCTTGCTGCCTCTAAACCCAGCTTCAGTCATCCCCACTCCTACACCGCTCCTCTCCTAAGTGCCTTTTCACCGGCGTTCTCCCCTGTGAGCCGGCAGCCCTCTTTACAAGCCAATTAGCACCCCCGCACAGGAAACGTTCAGTCTCTTCACGGGCGCTCGCAAGCACCATCGCTGACGGCCACCATCTCAACCACGCTCAGTTTACCTCTTCTGAGCTTTAAACGCTGCGTTCAAAGAACAACCTGCCTCTCCAGCTTCAATCCCTCCCGACTCACACGCTGTCACGTCCGTGTGTGCCCCCCCCGCGCAGAACGACCTTGGCACCGCATCACGTTGGCGGGCGGCCCCGCCGGCCCCCGCCCCGCCGCGCCCCCGGACACTGCCCCGGCGCCCGCCCCCGCCGCCATCTTACCGCGCACCCGCGGCGGCGGTACCGCGGCGGCGAGGCGAGGCGAGCCCGCTGCGCCCCGGGGGACGCCCGCACAGCCGCGCTGCGCAGCTCCGCGCCCCGCCCCGAGGGGGCAACGGCCATTGCCCCACCAGGCGCGGGCTGCACCCTGACCCCATGATGGCGCGGGACCCGGACGGCGCATCCCGCGTTACCTTTCCTTGTCAGGCAGGGACGGGGCAGCGGCCATAATAACACGAGCGCCAAGACCGCTCCTATCACCGCCTCACGCTCCCCTCAGCCGCTTTTTTATCCTTTTTTGGACAGTCCCGCCCTCCGGGCCCAGGAATCACATTGGCCGGCGTTGCTGTCTCTAAAGTTCATCATCCTATAAGGAGAACAAGGTCCACGCCAGTAATCACCCGCCTACATCGTTTCTCTGCTTCCCTCCCCCGTGCGTACGCCTCTGGCGGGAGCGTGGTTGGGGGACGGGGTTTCATCGTGAGGGGAGCGACTGGACTGGTCTGGTCTGGACGGGGAGGGTCCTGGGTGGGCTCTGTGGGGAAGGGAGCTCAGGGGCGCCCGGGTCCGCGAAGGCGGGAACTCCTCGGGCAAGGCCGGAGTCGTTAGGCGAGAACGACCGACTCCTGAGCAGCCGCGGCGGTAGCTCGGTGCCGGTGTTGGGGGGGGCACAGGCTGCGCTTCCTGAGGGAAGCGTTGAGGGCGGCGGGCGACCGGCGAGGCAGGACGCGGTGACTGGTGCCTGCCACGCGTCACAAATTATCTGAAGATGACCATGCACGCTAGAGAGTGCGGCTGCTGTTCAGTGCCTATCTGGTGCCCGGTAACTGGGAGTGCGCCCCAGCAGCCAAAATGGGCGCCAGTTGTTTTCAACATCCTCATTAAAGAGCTGGAGGACGGGGGCGGAGCCGCCCCCTCGGCAGATTTGCCGATGTCACCACGCGGGGAGGACGGGGTGACACGTCAGAGAGCTGTGGTGCAATCTGGAGGTGTGGTCACGCGCGCGGCGTGCTGGCGCGCGCCCGGAGCAGAGGGACGTCACCGCTTTCACGTTCGCACAAAGAGGGAGGTAGGTGGCAGTTCCGCAAAGCTAGCACACCGGTCAGGAGAACTGGAGTGCATTTGTACGCTTCAGACCACACGAATGCACATTTACTGTAGTGACCACTGGTTAGTTTCTTGCCACTTTGTGCCTCCTCAGTCAACATGTCTCGATTTAAGGCTACAGTCTCTGCGCAAACTCGGAGTATGTGTGTGGGGCGCAAGTCTTAGCGGTCTGAAATTGGGTTGGTGGTCGCCGTCTCCCCCCCCCCCCCGCCCCCCCCCCCGCTGTCTTTACTTTCCTCCTTTATCACGGATTCGCGCATGCCTTCTGCTGCTTCGGCAATTCCTCAACATTCAGGGCCTTTTTGTCAGGGTGTTTCCCTGTTACCGGTCATCTGCCTCCTCACCAAGGTCGTAGTTGTTAGTAAGGCCTGCATTGCTTATGCAGAGTGATCAAGCTTACAAAGTAAGGCCATCACTCCTGGCCTCCCTAGAAGATCTGAATGCATTACATCTAATTTTAACTTGAATAGTGCCACTATATCCAGTGCATTTATTCAGACATACAGTTTTACACAGGTAACAGAGAGACCTGAACAGGCAGGGGAAATGGGCTGGCAGGAACCTCAGGAAGTTCAGCAAGTTGAAGTCCAAAGTCCTGCATCTGGCGAAGAACAGGCACCAGTACATGCTGGGGGGCTGCCCAACTGGAAAGCAGCTTGGCAGAAAAAGCCCTGGGGGTCCCGGTGGACACCAAGTTCAACATGAGTCAGCAACATGTCCCCGTGGCAACGGCCCATGGTGTCCTGGGCTGTATTAGGAGGAGTGTTGCCAGCAGGTCATGGAGGTGATCCACTTTTCTCAGCACTGGAGAGGCCACTCCTGGAGTACCACCTCCAGTGCTGGACTCCCCAGTACAAGACAGACATGGACATACTGAAGAGAGTTTCACAAAGGGCCACCAAGATGATGAAGGGACAGGTGCATCTCTCCTATGAGGAAAGGCTGAGAGAGCTGGGACTGCTCAGCCTGGAGAAGAGAAGGCTCAGGGGGATCTCATCAATGTATATAAATACCTGATGGGATGGTGCAGAGAGGACAGAGCTGGGCTTTTTTCAGTGGTGCCCAGTAACAGGACCAGAGGCGATGAGCACAGACTAAACACAGGAGGTTTCCTCTGAACATGAGGAAACACTTTTTTGCTGTGAGGGTGACCACGCACTGGCACAGGTTGTCCAAGAAGATGGTGGAGTCTCCATCCTTGAAGATACCTGAAAGCTGTCTGGAGATGGTCCTGTGCACGTTTGGACCAGATGTCTTCCAGAGGACCCTGCCAGCCTCAACCATTTTGTCACTGAATTTCACAGGGCATATTTTGTGCACTGTTACACTCACCAGTTAAACTTCACGCAGCAGCTATATACCACAACAAAAAACTTAAGGTATTTATTCAATATATATCAATGTTGTTGTGGTTTGGGTTGTTTTTTTTTTTTTTTTTTTTCCTGCTCCACCAAAGCATCCAGCTCACCATGATGAATTACTGAAGAGAAGGGTGCTGAGACCCAGCGCAGCACAGTGGTATTGCTAGGGAAGAACTGCAAGTACAGTTCAAGAAAACTTGGAAGAGTTGAGTTATGGAAGTTGAATCTTCAGAAAGAACCAGGGTGGCCTTTGGCAGAGATTAACAAGTTATTTGTCTATTCAGTCTTTTGGATGATGGGCAGTTCTTTGTTCACCCTGTCAGAAGTGAATACGCTGCACAAAGTACTACAGAAAATACAAACAGTAGGGCTGTGTGGCCTCAGCAGGAGCAGCTCTCAAATATGTGACTGCAGCATTCTGGTAGCAAGTCAGCAATTCGGCAGTGCCTCACAAACATGACTCAACAAGCTTCTCAGCTGAAAAAAAAAAAGGTTATGTAAACAAGGTGTGTCAAGTTACGAAGGGAGATTTGATGCAAAAGTTGTCCAGTGATAAAGACAGATTCATGGAGGGTTATCTCCCGATTACCATGTTAAACCATGTTACAAATCAAGCTTATTGCCGTTTGGTTTTGTTAAATGATATGCATATTCCTTTCCTTCTGGGACACAGATTTGAACCAACCAAAAGGGTATAACATAAACCTCCCTCTGAAGGACAGTGCTCTAGCAGAATTTGAATCAAAGAATAATCCAATGCTTTTACAAAAAAAAAAAATGCTAAGACATATTTGCTTGGCATTACCACAGCTTCATATATAATTAAAGTAAAAAAATCTGCTAAAATTCAATTAAAATTTACTTCTTCACAGTGTTTTTTTCCCCTTAGATTTCTGTGATGTTTAGTTTTTCAGTTACTTTGTAAAGCAATTTCTGGTGCATAATGGGCTACCATTGGACGTCACCTTGAGAAACACTGCTCTGACATTATGTTAAAGAAGGCATTGAACACAGCTGCAGATTGCGAGTGGCACAGTGTCATCATTGCATATGAAGACTGTTCTTCGTCAGCCCACTTAATTCAGGACACTGAGAAAGATTTTGTATTTTTTTAAATTTGACAACTGCATGTTATTTTTTTTCCCTTTGAATTCTTACAGCTTCTCTTGATTCTGCAAATCAAGTATTTAAGAATTGTCATTAAAATCCACATTTATTACACAAGACAATATTCACAAACTTCACTCACATCAACACAAAAACAAAAAAACAAAACTTCCCCACACCAAAATTAAAATAACTATCACAATACTGAAACACAGTACATGAAATCCACCCCTTGTCCTTCTACCACAATTACAACAGAAATTCCAATCATTGTTCTGCTAACAGAGTTCAATCCGTGTTTTGCAAGTTACCTTTCCCAATTACTGTCCTTATCTTGCATTCCTCTGCCCTACATTGGACACAAAAAACAACTGTCCTGGTTTCAGCCCATAGGGCAACTGAGCACCATGCAGTTCTTCACTCACCCCTTCCCCTTCATGAACTCGAAGCAGAAAATGAAGCAAGAGGTAGGGAGGGAGGGATGGCTCACCCATTATGGTCAGGGGCAAAAGGCAGACTCATTAAGGGGAAAAAAAAACCATAAATTTAATTCAGACACAACAACACTCTAACAGAGAGGGAGAAATACAACCACATATTAAAAACACCTTCCCCCCACCCCTCCCTTATTCCTGGGCTCAGCTCTCCTCCCAATTTCTCTACCTCCTCTCCCCCAAGTGGTGCAGGGGGCAGGGGATGGGGGTTACAGTGGGTCCTGCCACTTCTTTCTCCTCAGGGTGGGGGTAACGTCACATTTGTCCCCTGCTCCAGCCCCTCTCAAGGGATAGTCCGCTGACTTTCTCCACCATGAATCTCTCCCGCAAGCCACAGCATTTCCTCAGCTGCTCCGGCGTGGGTCACCCCCACACGCTCCAGTGCTCCCAGTGCCGAACCACAACAGCGGGGGCTGCTTCCCACAGGGCCCCGGCCTTCTTCAGGCGAGCTGCCTGCTGCTGTGTGGGCTCCTCCACAGGCCGCAGGCAGATCTCTACTCCACCGCAGACCTCCATGGGTGGCAGGGGGGCAGCCTGCCCTCTCGCCATGGGATGCAGGGGGGTCTCTGCTCTGGCACACCTCTCCCCCCTTTCCTCCTCTGTCCTTCCACTGACCTGTGCGCTCACATAGATGCCCTCTTCACAACTCCCAACTCCTCCTCTCAGTGTCTCCTTCTTAAATACGATATTGCAGAGGTGCAGCCACCGTCACTAATTGGCTTGGTCCTGGTGCTGAGCTGGATCCGACCTGAAGCCGAGGGAGCTTGGAAAAGCTTCTCACAGGGGCCACTGCTGTAGCCAAAACCCCTCCACACTTACTCAAACCCAGCATGCTCAGGCATGTTGTAGCTGCATGTGCTTCCCAAATATCCGCTCGCTGACCTCAGAAATTTAATGATGAAGGAAATCAAAACCTGACAGCTTTTAAATGCTGTAAAGCAGTATGAAGAGTAGTTATAATTGCTGGTGAGAATAGGACTTGTGTACATCTGCAGCAGAACTTCAAGAATGCAAATAATGTGTTTGGCTAGTCGGAATGATTCTGGTCTCTGAAAGCTACATGTAACTTGGTGAGATTATTCCATTTGCAGTAATTGCAGTGGAAGGGAGAGTGTCAGAGAATGAGCACTGCACTACAAGCATCCCAAGCAGAGAATTCCTGCACTGCATACAAGGTCAGCAGCAAGTCAGGTGTGCTTAGTCAGAATCCATTTTTATTGTTAAGGGTGGGTGGGGAATAAAAATATGAAAAAAACCCAAACAAACCAAACCAGCAATAAGAGCTCTGTACAAGTGTGAAATAGAAATTCAAAGCAGTTCTGATACAGGCTGGTACATTTCACTGGGGATAAATCCAA